GTCAGGGCATTTAATAATCAGATGATCTTTAGAAGCGGGAACACCTGCTGCAATTGACACAGTCATCTCACCTTGAAGAACATTCTCTTTCCCTCTGTCCCTCTCTCCCCCTCCTTTTCTTACCCCCTCCCTCTCTCCATATCTGACATTTTTACCACCACACACATCATGTTGCAGTGGTTGTCCTGAGTTTTCCGTTTTTGTACCACAAACATGTGTAGTATTAGTGTGGTTTCTCGCCCATGCAACCACAGCCCTTTAATTTAGGGCAGAAATATGCACATGGGTGTCACTTCCCAGCAGCTTAGCCAGAGCCCTCTTCTCACATAAAAGGAGGAGAATCCTTCTGGTCTTCGCTGCATACGTTGCACAAACACACCGAGGTGTCCGTGAGGCAGGGTTTGCGTGAGTGCTGAAGAACCAGTGTGAAGGAAGCGGCGGTCTTTAAGGCCTGCTGGAACCCTAACTGTTCGTGCACCATTGACACCCACCAAGCCACAATGTAACTATTCAGAAGGCTGTTTGGGAAACACAGCTCTGTGTTTGGTCCATGGATAAGAAGTTGGCAGATGTTCAGGGACACTAACTAGCAGTTGTGAGGTGTCTCTGGAGTGCTTGTTTCTGGAGGCAGTGTGTAACCTGCACGCACAGGGCAGTGGGCGTCTGATTGGTGTCCAGGCTGGGCTGCGTCCATGGCTCACTCTGTAGGAGGGTGTCCTGCCTCCTCGCTGGCCGTCTGCAGTGGAGGCCAGCTTTGAATCCCAAATGGAACGGTCAGCACAGGTTGTTCTGCATGGCTATTTGGAGAGAAGGCTTCCAAGAAGCATTTGAATAACATCATCTCACATAAAATGTAACCGAATTAGGGGCTGCCAGTTCCGTTCTCAGTAGAGGGCAGAATGAACACTTTAATCCAATTCCGTGTTCTTCCACTTCCCTCCTAATGTCCCCTGAGCTGTTTGGTGCTCTCAGCTGTATCTGCACGCAACTGGTGCTGGAACGTAGGGCCAGGTGGTACCACAGCCTCAGAACCCAGTGCCAAGGTTAATCGTGTTACAGCCAAGTTATTTTACTTTATCTGTGGCCTCTTAAAGATCTTTTCCAGGGATGCTGTAATGGTAAAAAGATCCTTTAATGTTTCCAGAACAGAGTTTCTGAGGGGAGGTCTAATTGCAGCTCCCAAAAAAAACCTCAACAAGGAAGAAAGGGAACAAACTATTTCATGTTCATTCTGCCTGAGCGTCGACTTGATAGTATGCACATTGACCACACACTTAGGCTACCGCTTTTGGGGTACTCACCAGCTTAGGTTACGTCAGAAGGACAGGTGAAGGGGGTGATTTCTTCAGTGTCTAGGTAAGAGGTAGCCTGGAGAGAGCAGGAATTTGAACTGGTTCATTCTGGTTTGAGCCCCTGCTGAGAATTTGTCCCAGGTAAGTGGAATCAGAATCTATGTTTTAGCAGGTGAATCTTAAGTCGGAAAATCAGTATGAATCACCTGGGATCTATAAGTGTAAATAGATTCTGGTTAGTAAAACAATAAAGATCCTATTTCAGTGTCTTTGGAGTGGGGAAGCAAATTCTAAGCAGTGAATCCAACTGGAATGAGCCTGTTCTGAGCCCTGGGAGGCAGAGGTCTTGGTGTTGATTCTGCCCCAGTAGCAGGGAGGGAAGAAGGGAGTTCAAGTTCTAGACTAACTCCTTGTTCTTCAGACTCATGAAAGGGTATGGTCTGCCTGTTGATGTTATTCCACTCTGTTCAGTCTCCACTTCCAGATCCAGGAAGTTGCTGCTGTTGTTTTGTAGTATCAAGTCAGACTGACCCGTAGTTGACCACCCTTGCAGGTTTTACAGAGGCAGTACATTGCAGGGGAGGAGATTGCCTGTCTGTCCTTCAGAGCAGCTGGTGGATTCGAACCGTGTGCCTTAGAGTTGGCAGCACAGCTCCTTACCACTAAGCTATCCCTCCAACCCCTGTCCTTCATACTCTGCTCATGAAAGGGCCTGTTCTGCCTCTTGATGTTTGTTCTGCTCTGCTCTGCTCCAGATCCAGGATGTTCGATGGTCAGATCTTGGAATGATCTTTATGGGGTCTTTAGGACTTGACCTGAGGAAATGTCAAGCAATGAGTCCCTGGAGTTTTAGCAGAGCATTTTCTTGCCTAGGAAACATGCTTTAGAAAGGACCACTGAGTCAACTGCCTTGTGGCACTGATTAATTTTTCTCTGGAGCTCAGGAAAGGGAATAGTGAGCCTCTCTCAGCAGTCCCTAAATCCCATAGCTGTGTTTTGACTGCTTTCTCATTCAGAGCTCTGGGGTGAACCAGCCCTGGGGCCTGCAGCCTTGTCAAGGCACTTGGTTAGTCGTGAAGCAAAGAGTTGAAGTATAAAGTTGTATTAAAAGATTTACAGCCTCAGCCCAATATCAAGATGACCAAACCTACTCATGTCTGGAGGCTGGACCATCCTCTGGTGGGAAAATCATATCCACAGGAAGGACAGAAATCCTCCTGTAAACTCACACAGGAGCTTATTCTGATGTTTGGTGTCTTAGTTCTTTCAAGTACTCCCAGGAGTCTTGGTAACAAGGCTGTTGGCTTCTTGTTCCTCTAAGCCATGCCCTGGTCTCCTGTGGAGGTCTTATCTGCAGGGTCCTGAGTTCAGGCTTTCCTAGGACAGTGTTGGTCTCAGGAAGAGGCTCTTCACTGTTGTTGCGCCACCTTGATAGTCCAATGTTTGTCCATCCAGGCAACATTTCCCAGACCGCCTCTTCCAAGCAGAGGGATCTCAGCCATCCTTCTGTGGTCCAGTTTGGAGTTGGAGAACATATTCACTCTGGACTGGCTTTGTCTCTGAAATCCAGTAACTCCTTGTGCTTTATTTACCCTTTACAGAAACATGGTCCACATTGGTCAGATGGGGCAAACAGCTTTGGGCACCTGCTCCTTTGAAATTCCTGCCTGTGATTCCCAGGTGTTTTCCTGGCTGCAGGCCACTGAAGTGTCCTGGTTACCCTTCGTGATTGAAAGTTGCTGGTTTGCACATGGCACACCTAGAGGACTCTCTGTTTTCCCCCCTGTGAAGGCTCCAGTGCAAGAGCCCGAGACTAGAACAGCAATTGGGTGGAGAACGTAACAGGATTACATGTCAGCCACACAGGAGGAGGAAACGCCACGTCTCCTCTCCTTCATGGCTGACATTTGACCGTTTGGAAAACCTGCCTGGTTTGACAGGAAAGATTAGGAACTTTAACAGGTGCCATTGTCATTCCTTCTTTTCTGGGATCTCCTTGGCTATGCCTTGTATTTTTGACATATCAGAAGGGGCTTAGAACCAAATGTGTGTAGACCCAAGGCCACGCAGGGTTCATCTCACAGCGGCTTTGAAGTTGCTGGAAGCCTGGTGCTGTTGCCAGGCCCTTTGTTAAAATGACTTCTGTGCGGATATAATTAATGTACGTTCTCTGGAACAAAGAAATGATGCTGTGGGTGTAAAATGGCTTGATGAAACTGGGAGACGAATGCCCGCTGTTGAATAATAATGATTTCTCACACAAACAGCCATCAGTGGCATATGTACACACCACGCCGGGCCTTCCTTCAGGCTGGGAAGAAAGGAAAGATGCTAAGGGACGCACATACTATGTCAATCATAACAATCGAACCACGACGTGGACACGCCCCATCATGCAGGTATGAAGACCGCTTTCAACCCTGAGCCACACCTGTAGGACCAGAGCAGCCACAGCCCACCTCTGCTCCTGGTGGTTCTCGGTTCTTCCGAACCACCCAAGATTTTTAAAATATACGTCTCATGAGGAAGAGAAATGCATTTCTTTAAGAATAGCGCTTCCCTGAGGAAATGTCCCCAAAGCCATTTCTCCTTGGGGACATTTTAAAAGTGTGGCGTACAAACTCTTCTGAAGGTGACAGGACCATCCAGTGTGTGTCTTCACCCCAAGCCCCCTTCCTTCTGAGGCTAGTGTTGGTTCAGAGCCAGTGATTCATTTTTTAAACCCATGAATGTCTTTCCCCCATCATTATGTTTAATTGTCTCCTCCCTGCTTTAAATAGGGCCAGACCTCTTATTATTGCTGTTTGTGTTGTTGTTTGGGTTCGTACTTCCTGACCCCACACACACACCACGCACAAATACACCCCATACACACAGAGACACGGAGATCCTTATACGAAGCTAACTTGTTTTTGCCTCCAAATTAGCTTGCAGAAGATGGCGCGTCTGGATCGGCTGCCAACAGTAACACCCACCTAATCGAGCCTCAGATCCGGCGGCCCCGTAGCCTCAGTTCGCCAACCGTAACTTTATCTGCCCCACTGGAGGTGAGGAGGCTTCCTCATGAAGCCGTGGTCCCGTCTATCCTGTGCCTTCTCCTCATGCTCCCTTCTCTCTAGTGTGGACTTCTCTTGCAGCCACTCTGTGCTCTCTGATAGCCGTGTGTCGTGGTGAGAGGTGGTCTCGAACCCCGTCACAACATGCTTCTCCTCTGTGTGTCCATTAACATGCCTGGGCTCTCCTCACCTGACTCTCATGCTCATCTGGCCCAAGCCTCTAGGATGTGTGCTGGATGTGGGCCTGCCTTCTCTTTTCGGGACTGTCACCATTCTTGTGTTTCTACCTCTTATATTGCCTGTTGACTTCATTGGAATTGCATAATAACTCTCTCCAAGACCAATGCTTCTATTGAGTTGGAAAGCTGTTGCTTTGACCATTCTTTGTGTGTGTGTGTGTGTGTGTGTGTGTGTGTGTGTGTGTGTGTTTCTTTTGACCAGAGGACGTTCCATGGTGTGGGCATATGTGTGTCTTTGGTGCCAGTTGGTGTCTCCACATCATGGCTGGGCACTGCTTCTGTTCCCTGTGTGTGTGGTATCAATGCTAGTCTCCAGCTTCGTGGGTGTCGGGGAGCTAGACAAGCCAACCCATAAACTTGTGACATTCTCAAGTTGGCTGTGGATGAGACAGCTGTGGGTCCATGGGGGTTTCTCCAAGCCCCGGGTTTACCAGGCAGCGAAGTAGACATTGGTAATACCTCTTGTAGACTGTGCTCCAGCTGAATGGCATGTGTAACAACTTTGTGAATCCAGGGGGCTGCCTCCAAGGATCTAGGTTTCTCTTTGCTCTGAAAAACTGCCAACTCTGTCTTCATTAGACTGTGAGCTCATTAAGAGCAGGGGCCAGCTTCTCCCCTCCCTCGGGGGCATCTACATTCACCATGTTTAGTCGGGCAGAGAATGTATTTAGTGCATACTGAGTAACTACCAAGAGATGCTTATTCAAAGTATTTCCTATTATTGTGTGTTTAACCAAGTGACAAAATTTCAAGGTAGGCTGACTTAAGTGAAGACAGGTTTTATAGGCATGTTCCCTTTGTCCATTTCTGCAGACAAGTGTTCCGTGATGCCCAGGGACAGTGTGGCCCACGTGGACTAGCGCATGATACGATGTCTAATGTTCATTATTATTATTCCTTAGGGTGCCAAGGACTCACCCATCCGTCGGGCTGTGAAAGACACCCTTTCCAATCCACAGTCCCCACAGCCGTCACCTTACAACTCCCCCAAACCGCAGCACAAAGTCACACAGAGCTTCTTGCCACCCGGCTGGGAAATGAGGATAGCCCCGAATGGCCGGCCCTTCTTCATTGACCACAACTCAAAGACGACAACCTGGGTAAGGCCGCTGGTGTCGCAGGATGCTGCTTCTGCTCTGGTCCCTGGCACCCCTGCCTTCTTCCCGCAGTCTGGGGTCATCGCTCTGACAGAGTCCTCTGACCCTGAAGCGCTGGGTTCATCACTCAGACAGAGTCCTCTGACCCTGAAGCGTATCTCCACCAGGTCTCCTCTGGATTCTGCATAATTGGGTTGGGGACGTGGGTGATGTGGGAGCACAGCCTGATAGCTCGTACTGGTGCTGCCTTGGACCACCTTTGCTCCTTCGTGCTCCTGGAATGTGCCAGGTGGACACGTCACCGTATCAGAGAGTAAATGATGCTCCATATTACTGAAATTATTTTTTTTTTAATCCTACCGAGCTTTATTTAAATACCCATTTTGCACACTTCTACCTGTTCATTAAAAGGTGTCAGAAGGATGACAAATACTCTCGGCCGTCCCTCTCTGTTACCTGCTCCTTACCTCCTGTGACTGGGCTTTATGTCCTTGTTGTTCTGAAATTGTTTGTTTTGTTTGTTAATAGTACTGGTGTCGTGTCCACGAGTCCAGCGTGTTTCACACATATAAGTCACACAGTTCCTGAGGGGTGTCCGAGCTCAATGACAGTCTTGCCGTGCCCTTTGGCAAATGTGAAGGTGACTGGTTCACACCTCCCAGTGTCTTCCTTTTGTCAGGACACGCTTTCTTTTCAAACATGTTTCTCCTCTGTGGGTCTCTTTTTGCTTTATGTTAGTCCTTCCCTCCAAGTGACCTGTCCCAGGAGTTGATACTGTCCTCTTCAAACTCGCCTTTGACACTTCCTGGCTCGGTTTTCACTCCTTTTATCGTCATGTGGAAGATCTACTGAAAAGCTCCGCTTTCCCTTTGATTGTACTCTTTTTTTTATTATTATTACTCTTCTTTGTGTGACCATGTGTCAGAACTGATTTTTACATACTGCCTGGTTTTTTCATGCATGCCTGAATCATAAATAAGGAGGGAATCGCGTGTTATATTGACTTGCGCACAGAGATGCAGATTCGAGATTAATACTCTGCGTGACTTGACATTCCTCCGTCAGTTCATTTCTTCAGCAGCATCAGTAGTGGTTCTTTTAATGTAACCTACAATTCTTTTTTTTATACTGTTTATTATTATTATTATTATACTAGTTTATTTACAAAATTCGAATATATTATATTTGAGAACAGATTCTTCCAGTTTCCCTCACTCCCCTCCATCAAATTGTGCAGCCCTGTGATTCATCCTCCCCTCCCCCTGCACATCCTCATCCCTCTGCTTCTACCCTCCCCCCCGGGTCCTTATACTCATTCTACAATAATAGTTTTATACAATAGTTTTCCTGTGGGACTGAGTTAGTTCACTCAGCATAATGCTCTCCAGTTACTCCAAAGTTTAATAATAATTTACAAAGTCATTGCTCCTGGGTGCTTGCCTACAATTGTTTTGTAAGTCTGTTGGTGTTTTCTGACTTTGTAATCTCTAGTGTTTTCAGTAAATTGAAGGTCTTTCTTCTGTGAATTCTGAAACTGTACCAGGTTTCTTTCCTTCTGTGTCACAGTTGGGTCCAGAGTTAGTCAGTCCTGCTGTCATTTTTGCTCCTCACTTAGACCTGATGTTATGGGGAAAGGGTTGGATCTGCTGGTCATTGGCCCCAGCTCTTTAGTGTTATATCAGTAGGGAACACATGCTTCAATTCCCATTGCTAGTAATTGGACGTGTCATGTGTCCAGTTGATTATAATTAAAACAGTTGATTAAAAACAGCTGTTGTGTTAAGTTAGACTCTTTGGCCGAAGAGTTTTGATCCTTGAGAGTTGGAGTGGATGGCCTAGTACTCTTCCTAAAATCCTAAGGATGATAGTGCAATATGGGCCCTTGAAGACATTATTGACATTTAGGGCAGGACTGTGCCTCCTCTCATGGGACTCTTAATGTCCTTGTTTTTACAACAAATGCCAGTAGCTGATAGCTCTGCAAATCCCCATGCCACCTAAAAATGCCCCACTCATTTTGAAGACTCCTGAATGAGAACCATCCTAAAATCTTTTCCTGTTTTGAACCTGGAATCATCTACCGAAGTAATTAATCATTTATAGGTGATGACATTCATCTGGTAAATTGATAACAACTTCTGAGGCATATAATCACGTGCAGGTTTGTTTGAGTCACCTTCGAATCTGAAGTTATGATTGTAGGTTTGTGGGAAAGAGGCGCGTCCGCGATGGCCAGCAGCACTTTGAAGAGCATAGTCATAGGAACTGGCCGCTGAGTGGTGGTGGATTTCCCCCCCTCAGTAACGCTGAACCGGGGCCTCCCTTACAAACTCCCCACTTCAGTTTGCTTCAGCCCTCCTATCATTGCAGACCCTGAGCCAGAAACTGGAGCTCCAGAAATAGGGGGTAAATACTATAAAACTAGATGGATTAGTGTACGGAGCCACTGTGGCTCGCCAACAAAAGCTACGATTTTCGTAATTTGAACTAGCTTAGTAATCCAATCCCCTAACCTTTCCACAGCCTTTCACGCCCCTACGGCAGCGTAATTGCAGCTTGGGCGGGTTTCATTTGAAATCACACTCGCTTTCTCTCTTGCTTGCCAAGTAGCTGAATGAAACCCAGAGTTCATTCCCACTTGTCCATTTTCATCCGGATAACTTGGTCCTGACTCACTGACGAATCCCAACTTCTCGTTTGTTAAAATTCTTCGTTGCCGCTGCTGCCGCTGTTGGCTGTTAGCAGAAATCCTTGAGGTTAACAGCTGGTGGGGACCCTTCTCAGCTGGGCACAGATGTGCTGCCACACCTGTCTTGTCTCTTCTGAACAAAGCCCTGAGCCAAACACAGCCTCTGAATCGCCTCTTTATTTTGACAGAACATTTGGGGAGCAGGCAGTGAGGGGATCGTCAAGACCATTTTCAGCTTAAGATCTGCTTGGAGCTGGTTTCAGAGTTTGCTCTGCTTGTGTTTTTTTGAAAGATCAAGAGAACAAATCAGAAAACAGGATCACTGTTTTTAGATTGTTGTGTGCCGGCAAGTCCAGTGGTCTCCAGAGGCTGTGAATTGCATGGGAAGAAAGACGAAATTGTCAGTCTTTATTCTCAGGAGCAGCTGGTGGATTTGAACTGCCTGCCTGTGGATTGACAGCACAATTCCTTACCACTAGACAGGAGAGGAAGACCTTGGATGAGATGGATTGACACAGAAATTGGGGTTATGGGAGCAGGTGTATTGTAGATGGTGAAATTGGCTCAACATGGGACAGATTTCGGAGCTGTTGTTTATAGGGTCACGATAAGTCGCAGTCGACGATACATAACAACAGCGGGCCACCAGAGCTCCCTGTTCTTAAATTAGAACATTGTGTAAGATCAGTGGGGAGTAATAGAAAGCTGGCTCCTCTCCGCCTCAGCCTCGGTGCTTGTACTAACACAACCTCAGAAACAAAAAGGCCACTGTCATTGAATTGGACTCCAGCTCCTACTGATCCGGACAGAGAAGCATGGCCTCATACCGTTTTGAAGGCTGCGAGTCCTTACGGAAGCCGACTGCCTCATCTTTCTCTCGCGGAGCAGCTGAGAGTTCACACAGCCCAGGATTTAACCCCCAGGCCTGCTAGGTTTCCTTCAGGGCGGAAAGCCGCTTGCGCACAGTAATAGAGGGAAATGGACTTTGAAGTATGTTGATAGAGCATAGCCTTTCACACATGCAGGTAACAGAAGTAATGTCCCAGCAATCCGACGAGATGAAAGTGTGGCAGCCCCGGGGAAGCGTGACTGTCCCACCCAGCCCAGGCCTAGGTGATAGACCAGTGGCCAGTAGATGACAGGGCATGTGAAGCTGTCCACTCCCTCTAAAGGCACAGCCCAAAGCCCGTGTATGACAGTGTGTTCACATCTTTCCCAGGCCAAAGCATTGGCTTTCTCTTCGTTGCGCTGAGGGTTACATCTTAATTAATTAGTTCCACGTTTGTGTTCTGAGTCCAGACTAATAAAACACAGTCGAGCCCAGACGTGACTGATGCAGAGAAAAACAGTTGGTGTTTGATGTGGTTGCTATTCCAATAGCTTTTATGTTTTCAAATTACTTGGTAGGAAACCCTTTCTCTCCCTTCCCCTGCCCCCCCAAAAAAGATATTTATCTTTGCATGCTATTTAAAACCTCTCTTTCTGCTGGATTGAGTGAAACAATACATAGTGAAAGCATGTTCTTACTATGCCAAGTAAATGAAATGGGAGACACTTTGTATATGTTAATTGTTTCTGTTTTTACACTTGGACTTTTGTTGTTGTTAATGTTGTTTTCTTCTGTTTGGGTGGCAGCTCTGGTTTCTTTTTTTTAGTTGCAATTTTAACAAACATTTACACAGAAGTTAGATTTTCATTCATTGTTGCGTATTTTACTCCCTCTTCCTCCCTTCCCCCAGTTCACTTTTTTTAAAATATTCATTCATTGTTGCACAATTACCTACGTCCCCCTCACCCTAGTCCTCTTTGCAGTGATGTACCTCTTATTCTGGGCTGTTGTCGTACATATAATGCTTAATCATATATCCCTTTTAAACAGTTCTTTCCTTCATCTGTTCCAAGACAATGGTCATTATCTATCCATTCTTATCCTGTTTTCCCAACCCTCAATATCAGACTTGCTTCATAACAATGGTGCTATGCAGTATTTGTCCTTTTGTGACTGAGATATTTCACTCAGCATGATGTCCTCCTGGGTCTCCCATGTTGTGTAACGTTTCACAAGTTCATGGTTTTTCAGCGCTGCGTAGTATTCCATTGTGTGAATATAGCATAGTTTTTCTATCCATTCATTTGTTGGTGGGTACTTGGATTGCTTCCATCTCTTTGCTATTGTCAATAACACAGCAATAAACTTGGGTGTGCATTGTTCTTACATTTATGACCTCACTAGTGTTCCAGCTTCTTTTAGCCTAACGTTGTCCCTAACTAGCGTGAGGCCGGGGCTGTCAATACCCTGCTTTCTCAGCTGGGAGATGCCACCTACTCGGGGTATTGAGAGACCGAAAGAGGAGAGGAGGGAGCCTGACCCTGTAACGCTGCAGCATTCAGCATCATTTGAATGATTGTGGGAAGAGTAACACAGGATGACCTCTGTGGCCTCTGGCTCCCCCATGCTGTCAGTTTTGAATTTTTCTGAAAGACCATCTTTGCAGACCTGTGAAACTGAGTTTATTTCCTACATCATGCCCGATCTCCTGTCCCCTTCATCCCACCCACCATTCCCTTTATTTTTTAATTTTTTAATTTTATTTATTTTTATTTTATTAATTTTAATGGACATTTACAGAGATTTTGGATTTCCATTTATTCATTGTTACACTTTTCTCCCTGCCCACCGCTCCCCCTCCTCCCGGTTCACTCCTCTCTTTGAAAAGTAAAAGAAAACTTCTTTCATTGGTATACAATCCCCCCGTACCCTGCCCCCGCCACCCCAGTACACTCCACTATGCAGCCTTCATTCTGGACTCTTGTGATAACCATAATACCCTATCATATATCACTTTTAAATTATTCTCTCCCTCATCTGTTTCAATTCAGTATACATAATTTATCCAATTTTTCTCAGTCTTACCCCAACCCTGATGTCAGTCCCGTTCCACAACAGTGGCACCACGCAGTATTTGTCCTTCCACCATTCCCTTTAATTTCAGCAGTTGTTTGTTTCATTTGAATCACTCACTCATTTATCAAAAGGGGTGAGGAGCCACCCTTCACCATAGCTTGTCTGTGAGATTTGAGGACATGGCCAACTTGTGCCTAGTGTCCCCGACTCCCAGGCGCTCTCTGCATCTGGGCTTGGCCAGTGGCCACATGGAAGTTGGGAGCTCCACTCAGAGTTAGCCTTGAGGAGGTAGCTTGTGTGGAATTCCGTGTTTTAGGGTTTTTTTTCTGTGCAAGATTATTATTGTCGGCTGTTACTGTCAATAACATCACATTTTTAGCAGCTTATCAGTTCTAAGTCTACTTAGGATATCCAGACACACAGTAAGTGTTCCAATAGTACAGGTCCACGTTCACAATAATGGACCTGTTTTACGTCTGTACTTACCCTTTAACTGTTAGTAAGGTTCCCGGCCAAGGCCTGTCTCTAGTGAGTTGCTTTTCTTAGTTAAATCTTTGCTGTTACTAACAGAAAGGAAGAAGGGGTTTTTTTTGGTTGTTTTGTTTTGTTTTGTGACTCTAGCCAGTTCCACAAATCTGGCTGTATTATGAGCCAGTGATGCAAATTGTCTCTATCATTGACTGGAGGGGAAATGGTGAACACAGGAAACCTTTGGTGATTTCACAGCAGCAGAGGTGTTAACAGAGCTGATTGGCCCTGAGCACATGGAGTCTACTGTCATGATTTCTTGTTTGCTAAGTTCTTGGGCTTATTTAGTGTGTCGTTCTGAATTTTGCCGTTCCTTTCCTGACCTTTTGAGTTTAATGATACAGGCTTTCCAAGTTACAGTGCATTTTAACAAGGCCTTGATTCTGGCGCCAATCCTTTGGCCAAGTCGTCTTTAGTGTTTCTACAACTGTTTCTTCTCCAAAGAAACACTCCCCAGTGCCCAGCTCTGAGAGAGCGGATGCGTGGTGCTGAGCCATCTTCCTTCGTAAACGGTGAGGTCAGAACACACATCTCCTCAGCTCCCTGTGCTCTCTTCGGACACATATTCTTTATTTTTAAAAATTTTATATTCTTACTTTGTGTGTGTATACCATCAAGTCAGATCTGACTGGTACAGGAGGAAATTGTCCCTCCTTCTCCAGCATAGCATCTTGTGGATTTGAACCACGTGTCCCTGGGATTGCTGACACATATTCCTTTAAGAACAATCTTTCACCACATTTTCAGGGTGGCATAAATGAGAGTCTAGTCTGTATAATTTGATGGAGCTTCTCAGGCAGGGTCTCTCGTCGATGCTCACTGCCCCAGACTAGCCACACGTCTTGAAGGCAGGAGCATATTCAGATTCTTGGCCGAATGTAGGGAGGGTAGGAAAAAGAACAACAGGAAGCCACCAGAGCCCCAGGGGGCTGGCTGCTCCCCTGCATTACGTAGGCTGCCCTCGCCCCGTGCTTGGAATGTAGAGGGAAAGTTCCAGATTATTGTCTCCAATCCCTGCAGGTGGAGTTGAACCCCAGCTCCCAGTTTCTGTTGTGGCTTCACTGCCAGTGACCCCTCCCTCTTCACCTCCTGAAGGCCTGGACGGAGTGGTTGGCTTTTCACTGATATCGCCTCACTCTAACGTTTTCTCCAAGGATAGGGGAGAGAGAAAGTCTTTATTGAGAAGGTGGTCAGCCAAGCTTCCAGTCCAACACAGAATGATGCTGTCCTCCCATCCGCACGTGAGCAGGAGGGCACTCCACGCACAGGGCCCTTGTTGCCTGGCAACTTGCTACTTCAAAAGAGATGCGTCATACGCTCACCGTCCACCTTAACATGCCATTTGTGTTTGTGTTACAGGAAGATCCTCGGCTCAAGTTTCCCGTGCATATGCGGTCAAAGGCATCCTTAAATCCCAATGACCTCGGACCCCTCCCTGTGAGTACATTGAAGACCCCTCCACCAGTGCTGACCGAGGGGCCTGTGGGCCTTCTCTTTTCTCCCAGCTTCCTCGGTCCCATTGGCTTGTGTTTCTTAACGTAACCGGCTGAATTTCTATAATATACATCTTACGAAAGATGTTTCAGAACTGCTGCCCGTCTGCACAAAGTTGCCCTTAGAGCTAGCTTAAGTCAGAGGCACACACAGACTCTCCAGTCAGTGATTGAAGCAGCAAGTGTTTGCTCTGAAGCTTGTCATCTCATGTTCTGTAAGTGACCACTGGTCTCTAAGTCATTTAGCCTGTAAATTGCTCTGTTTCCAGTTTTCTCCCTTGTTTGTCACTGTTTATAAACCTAGTTTCATATGCGTATGTATAGGTATGCTTGTTCTCTTTGGAGATCTGGGCGGAAGGTGAGCTATTTACTTGAAAAAAGATTTCCAGTGAAATCTTCACCAGGTGTCCCCCTGTTCAACTGTTCAGCTGTTTCCAGTTGAAAGCAAAGGCTTGCTGGGCTCTGAGACTCTCTAGAAGAGAGAGTATACTAAGGGTTTTGTGGTTGTTGTTGTTTGATAAATGTAAGTGAGCTCACAGACTTCTCTTGCCACTGTGTGGTCAGTGGTAACATGGAAGGGTGGAAAGTGTAGAATTCAAGATTTCTTCATCCAGTTGTGCAAATAGCTCTAAGCTGGTCTGAGTCATCCCCATTCTGGTGGAGACTGTGTTATGTGCCTTCAAGTTGGAATCAACTCATACCTCCTCCCCCCCAGCAGCTTTTCAGAGGCTGTCAATTGCACGGGAAGAGATTGCCCGTCTTTATCGCAAGAAGCAGCTGATAGATTTGAACCACCTACCTTCTGGTTGGCAGCGCAACTCCTTATCCACTAGGCCACTTGATCTCCCTGGAGCGAGACTAGAAAGTATCAAACCTGTTATATGAATCTGTTTGATAATCCTGGTTTTGTGTAGCAAATAGGAGTCGTTCAGGTCAGGAGGGGATGCATAATACCACTTCATCTTGAAAAAATGTAACAAAATCTGCTTTCAAAAAGTAGATATCTATTCAGAGTAGATTGTTCAACCATGAGATAACAATTTGCAAAAATTAACTGGGCTATATTTCTCCTTCCTCTTCTATTTAATGCTCAGAATTTACTTAGTTACCTGAACTATCCACCCAAATTCAGCTGACTCCTGACCCCCCAAAGCTGCCCTTTGAAGTTTGGAAACAGCAACTCTAATCAATATCTCAGATGCATCTACAACTCTGTGACTTAATAGAACTGCTGAATGTTGCCATGAATGAATAGGAAATACTTGTATTTTGTTCACTTTGAATGTAAAAAGGAAACAAAAAAAAGAGTATCTAGCAGAGAATAAGAGAGCAGCTTAGAGTTTTAGAATGCTGCCTTTGATTTTGGACCTGCCAGCTGACTTTTTTTTTAATGTTATTCTCCCCCTCCCCCTCCCCTCCATCTCTTTCTCCTTGTTCTGTCCTCACCTCCCTCGCTCTTCTCTCCACCCGTCCTCTCCCTCCCTCCTTCTCTCTTGGTCATCACCCCCTCTGCACCTACTCTTCTTTCCCCTGCCGCCCCTCAAAACCAGCCTGGTTGGGAAGAAAGAATTCACCTGGATGGCCGAACCTTCTACATTGATCACAGTAAGTGGGTGTGGTTACGGACCCACAGGTGTTGCAGGTAGAAGGGGGGAGGGGGCAGGATCATGATTGAAGTGGAAGCCTAGTAACTCTCCTCTTTGTCCAGGCAGCCAGGTGTTGTGTGGAGACAGTGACCCCCAAGAATCAGTGCCCTCGTACGGTACTGTGCCCCCCAGCTTGCTTTCAACCGCGCATCAAGCTTTCACCCCATCTTGTGACTATTAACTTTTTCCCTGTTCATTTGAAAAAAAGAAAGTCTTGGTTGACTCTTGCGCTTTTATCAAATCCACTCTGGCAATAGAAAATGAGATCCGAGCAGGGGTTCAGTCACAAATGAGGCGTGCATGGAGCCACATCTGTTTCGGAAGTCGTTGCTGTCAGAGGTCTTGTGGCCGAACGCCTGTTCTGACCTTGTTTTCTATTCTAGCATGTTTCTTTGCACCCAGCACACTAATCTAGACACAGATCTGTCCTTGACCTTGAAGTAGTGGATTTCTGCTTAGACATTTGCTCCAGCACCGATGAATAAGCGTGTGGTTTCTTTTGTCAACTAAAAGTTAAACTAATCAGGATTTGCTTTGAACCAGCAGGTTGTTTGTTATTGATGTTGGGTTTTTCTTCATCATTTTGGAAGTGGCATGTCCGCCCGGGATCATATTTGTGTTTATTTTCATCCCTGGGAAAGTACACTCAAAACAGAGCTTTCCGGTAGATTCGATGCGCAAGCAATGCATGGAATTGCGTGGTTGTGTCTCCGTGTGGTTCCTAAGGAAGGGTGCCAGTCTCCGAGCCGGATGGCTTCCTGACGAACAAGTGCAGGCTCGCGAGCGAGGGCTCAGCAGATCCCAGGTGGAGGTGGTGCTTCTCCAACTCACAGCCCCTCTGCCTCCTCCAGACGTCCTGGAGATCAAGTCATCTCAGTCAGACCTTCGCATCTGGTATCTTAGTCAGACCTTTGCATCTAGCATGGGCTAAGAGGCCTGGCCTGGTAGCAGCTGAATTGAGTGAGAGGCCCAGAAACTCTGAACTAAAACAGAATTGGCAATCCTTTGTACACTTAGGCAGAGGGTTAGCTTTAGGGTTAAGTCGACCAATTCAAGCAATATAGACAGTATTTTTCTCTTTGGTATTAATTTATCTATTCTCCTTATAGTTTCACAATGATCATAAAATTGCTGCCATATTGTATAACAATGAATGACTGCAAATCTAAGTTTTTCTGTCAGCTTTCATTAAAATTACAATAAAAAATTATTTCTAAAAAAGGGGAGGAATTGCTGCCGTAAGCGCCCTCTGGTTTTTCCCTGCATGTACCAGTTATTTATAATACTGTTCTGAACAGAATTTGTTAAAATAGTTTTGTTTCACATATTTTTTTAATTTTTATTTTATTTTATTATTTTGTGTGTGTGTACCGTCAAATCGGATCTGACTGGTGCAGGAGGAGATTGCACCTCTTTCTCCAGCAGAGCTTCTGGTGGATTTGAACCACGTACCTCTGGAATTGCTGTGCAGCTTCTTGCCACTAGGCCACCAGAGCTCCCTATCCTTTATTCCACATGTTAAAAACAAAACAATAGCTTCCTTTTCCAACTTTGCTTTGTATGTGTGTGGTAGAATTCTGTTTTAGCATAGAATATTCCTGTTTTTAAAGATTGAGATGAATGATGCTAATTGTTTCCTGAAAACCCGGTCTTGAGCGGTAGGTAGCACTGCCCTCCTGCCCTGCACCGTGTCATCTTGCGGCTGTGGTCTGTTGTGTAGGTCAACCTCTGAAAAACTCTTCATATTCTTCATGTACTACAGTGAGGCCAACGCAGGGGAAAGGCTATGGCAGAAGGCCAGGTCCTGTTGTGCATATGAAATAATAAACCAGACTGTTTCCCTAACGGCAAACATAGATCTAGTGTAAGACATGGTAGGGGCTCGATGAAGGAGCCCTAGTGGTGTGGTGGTGACTCAGTGGTGAGCTGTGAACTACCTGGTGTGGGATTCGAACCCACGAGCTGTCCCATGTTCCATGGGAGAACGCTATGGGAGTCGGCTTCTCGAAAGATTTACAGTTTTGGAAGCCCCAGTGGGGCATTTCTCCTCTGTTCTTTGGGATCAATATGAATCACATGACAGCAATGAATTTAGATACCTGATAAATGACCACTTGAGGTCAGTTTTGTGGAGGGTTTTTGGTGGGAGGTCTCAGGAGGTTCCTGTTCAGAACATGCAGAAAGGAAACACAGTAATGCCTGCTCCGTTGCTGCTGTCTCCTGACTCTGAGATTTCAAAGCAATTACTTGCCAGATACCTGCTTATGTGTATCCATGTATCCTTGTATGCGGCTCCTGGTTGGGCCACCATCTCGGGAATTCCTCATGACCCTTGCTCAGAGCAGCACTGGAAAAGCTCCCCATAGCTCTGGAGATTGGATGATGTGATGTAGACCTCACATCTTCAGCTGCCGTCCAGACAGTTTGACTCTGCGACCCGTCTCTTGTCAGCATAAGGCTGGGCTCCATAGGACCCTATTTTTTTTTTTTTTTTCTATAATTATATTTTATTAATTTTCATAAACATTTACAGAGATTTTGGGCTTCCACTCATTCATTGTTGCACTATTCTCTCTACCCTCCTCCCAGTTTGTTCTTGTCCAAATGCCACAGTGCTTGTCAAAGCCAGTTCTGATTAATCTTCTTTGTCAGTGTATCCTTTGCCATTCCCTATCACTCCTCCCTGAGAGAGACTTCACCCTGAGTCATAAGGAAAAGGGGACGGCGTATTCTCTTAGCTACTTCCTGCTGAAAAGGGACGCTGTGGGTTTCAGGGTGAAGATCTTCTCTCACTACTCTAAAGGGCCCCTTTGGCAGTAGGAAACACATAGACTATTATGGAGATTGATTTTGGAATTCAGATGCACTCTTATTGATTGTGCTTGGCTGTACATGTACATATCCTTCAAGATGTATCATGGGGGTGTTGCACCCTAGAAGACACAAATTTGACTAACAAGTTATAAGTACATGAGTCCAAAAATTATGGAAAAGTAAAAGAAAAGATTCTTTCATTGTTTTACAAACACTCCCCCTGGTCCCCTCCACCATGCAGCCCTCGCTCTAGTCTCCTGTGATGACAGAAATACCCAGTTACATCTCTCTTTTAAACAGTTCTCTCCCTCCTCTGTTTCAGTGCAGTATACATTATTGAACCCATCTTACTCAGTCTCTCCCCAACCCCAAGGACAGTCCCATTCTACAACATTTCTAGAAGTAGATCTCCAAGCCTTTCTCCCGAGGCACCCCAGCGGGTCTTGAGACACCAACCATTAGCTGCCTGCACCACGCAGGAGGCCCTGCACCGACCATGTACACACAGGCTAAAGTTTACCTTTGTCTCACCAGACAGAAAAGTGCTCTTAGCCAAGTACAGTGTGAATTAGATGGTCTAATGCTTGTCCCTAAGAAGAAAGATCTGTACAGAAAAATCTCCTACTAACTCAGCATTCCCCCGGTTCTCTGCTTTGTCAAGTTTTACTCAGCAGAAAGTGATAAAACGGGTCCATATCAGTGAGATATGTTTTGTTCCTTTGCCTTTCTGCCACATCCAGTCCTTGAATTGTATGGAACACACATTTCTTTAAAGGCCGCGTCAGCCTGGGAGGGCCATTCCCGGATGGGTTTAACCTGGTAGATGGAGTTTGTTTCCTCACGTCCATAATCACCTCCGTAATGAAGCCTCTCCCCCTAGCCCTCTGGCCTGCCTTCACTTCGTACAAAATCCGTCCTCTCGTTTTACTCTCCTCCTGCCAGCAGACCCCTGCCTGTGCCCTCTGACGAGGAGAGCGGTCCTCTTGGAGTTCCTCAGCCATCCTGTCACCCAGCTTAGGAGGGAACATGCATAGAATGATGGAGACGGGAGTTGCCATGATTAAATAATTGTTGTTAGCGGCTGTCACAGCGACCTCCTGACTCCTGGCGCCCTCTGTGTGACAACGTAGAACCGTCCCACAGGGTATTCTTTTTAAACAACAACAAAAAAAATTTTTAATGAATATTTACAGATATTTCGGATTTCCATTCATTCATGGTGGTAATTTTCTCCCTGCCCACACCCTCCCCCTCCCAGTTCACTCTTCTCTTTGAAAAGGAAAAGAAAAATTCCTTCATTGGTATACAACCTCTCCTACTCCCACCCCCCAGTACACTCCACTATGCAACCTTCGTGCTGGACTCTCGTCATAACCATAATACCCAATCTTATATTGCTTGTAAACTGTTCTTCATGAAAACATTTATCAGGCTTCTCCTCGGGGACCCACTGAGTGGGTTTGAACCATGAGACTTTTGATAAGCAGCTGATAACACATTACCCTTTCATCCCCTAGGCTCTGGGGTTACTTTTTTATTTTCTGTTTCATATTTTCTTCTCGTAAATCAGACACTTAAGACTGAAAATGTTCCGCCATCCTAAAGATCGTGTTGGGAAGAGATGCACCGACAAGATCCATCCCCTCTCTGGACTTCGCAGTGCATCTGGCGGGTCCTCTGAGTAGTTCCTGTGTCTCAGGCTTGGTATAAAATGTTCAGCCAAGGCCTTGCATTGACTCCTTAGCTGTCTTAGGACTGATGTGATTCATTTTAAAGACCAGATTTGGCCTGTGGCTAAAAGCTCAGCTGCAAGTATCTTGTACACAGTTATAGGAGAAAATAAACTTCCACTCCTGCTGTAAAATCTTGTTTTCATCTTCTCTGCTGAGAGCCCTCCCAAGCCATTGCAAGGAGCTAGACTGAATTTCTCATTCCTTCCTTCTTGTCCTCCTGTTTGAACTGTAATGTCTCAAGGACTAAAAGCAAGTTTTATTTCAGAAGTTAAAGGGCAGGGGCAGATGACTGGCCACCATACAGTTATATGCTGACAATGCTTAGCTACAAAATTGACCTCTTTTTGTAGCCACACAGGAATGTATGTAGTTCCGAAAGCTTGGGTTATTTTAATGGAACTTTGTTGTGGTGGGGTTTTGTTTGTTTGTTCTGTTGTGGTTTTTTTTAATTTTTTTTAATTAATTTTAAAGTAAGTTTACAGATACTTAGGGTTTCCAGTCATTCATTGTTGCACTTTTATCCCTCCGCCTCCTCCCCCCCAATTCACTCTTCTTGAAAAGAAAGAAAAGCTCTTTTATTGTTAAGTCTTTCAGTCCCATCCCTTCCTGCCTCTGAGCTTTGTCCCTGGGCAGTTAGTGCCCTGCGAGCCACCTCGTGTGACTGAAAGCTGTAAAGAGTGTGTCCTCTTACTGTTCCACCTGTAGCCTTATCTCCTGCTTGGCTGAAAGTTGGTCAGTCAGAGTGGGTCAGGCGCAGGCTTGAAGGGTGTCTAAGGGCTGTCGTCTCAGAGGTCCACCGCTCTCCAGTCAGACTAGTGATTCTGGTTGTGATGATGCTAAATTTCATTACCCTTTTAATTTTGCGAGGTCACAGTCACAGAGCCAGGGCAGCGAGGGGTCCCACCGGCACCACGTACGGAGGTAACGTGGAGTCGCCTTATTGATGTTGACTCATTTTAGAACCCAGCGTAACCGAAAGAGGAGCTTTCTCTGAACTCTTCCTCTGTTGTCATCAAATTCACATTTTTTTGGACTACATTTACTGCTTCCATTTTGAAAGATGTCTGAGTGACACAGACAGTGGGTTCTTCATTTGTTGAATATCAGCTGCTTCGTTGAAAAAGTTTCCACTCCACGAGAAAATTTGTGAAATTCGTGAAGGCCTTGTGTGTGCTTGTGAACTTTTGGAGCGGAGCTCTGATGGTTCGTGGGTAAGAAGTTGAGCTTCCAATGAAAAAACAAATGGCCCAAGAAAAAAAGGACAGTCTCCTCTCGTGTGATTTACAGCCTCTTAAAAATCTGCTGAGGGATCCACGATGAGTCAGTTCCGACTGAATAGCAGTTAGTTTGAGATTTGACTTTGAAGGCTTTATTGCCCTTTGCCCCTCTCCAGTTACGTGAAAAGCGAGACTAAGTTATAAATCCTTGCAAGAACAAGGGTTTATAATTGAAATTTTGGCAAACGGCCTGGCAGAAAGCGTGTGAATAGATGGTTTTATTTTAGTTGTGCATTTGTGATGAAGTGCTTATAACAAAGCCGTGTGCTGGGCTTTTACCACCTTGTGTGCCCAGTTCTAACCCTTTGGGTGGAGAATATGGTGGGATCTGGGCCACTTTTGAAGAATCCAGAAATATTTTTGGCAAATTTTAGGATAGATGTAAACTAACGTGCTGATTTTGAATTACTTTTCAGATAGCAAAATCACGCAGTGGGAGGATCCACGACTGCAGAACCCGGCCATTACGGGCCCGGTGAGTGCTCACCAGTTCTCTCTCTTCAGTGTGTAGTATTTCTGTTTGTTCTAAGCGTGTGTTTCTTGCATGTGACCATTTACTACGGCACCAAGGCACTGGTATCATTGAGTGCTTTAATGACTCCTATGCCCTCCTTCCCAGCATTTCAGGTCAGACACAGCTGCATAGGCCTTTCCCTGAGCTCACGTTTAAAAGATAAAGAGAACCGTTTGCTAATGGTAACAGAATTGAACATTTTCTTTTTAATAAAGAATAGCTAAAAAGTATATTTTTAAGTATCAGTCTTTCCTTTGGGCAAAAAAACGAAAGCATGCTCCCATCTGTAGAGTGGTATCATTTCTTGAGGCCGAGGCATTAATGCATGCTAAGAAAATGTAAACTATGTCTTGATGCTCTTCAGCTCTCCACTGTGCCAGGCTAGGGTGAGGTGGCATCTCAGCTCTGGGGCAGCAGAGTTCAGAATCTCCGTGCTGCACATTAACTTGCTCACGGTGCCTCTCAGATCCACCAGGTTGGTGGAAAAGAGCTCACTCTGCCCAATAATCAGCTGTCATTGCACTGACTGGGAGGCACACCGTGGTTGTCAGTGACTGGCTTTTTAGAACTAGATTACTAGGTGTTTCCTTTCAAGGCGCCTCTGGGTAGACTTGAACTTCCAGTCTTTGGGGTAGCAGCTGAGTGCATTTACCAGGTGCACCACTAAGGGCTCTTGCCTCAGAGATGATGATGTGTGCTATGGCCTCCAACTTACAGCAACCCTGTTTAACAGAATAAAACTGCCCAGTGGGGGTCTCAAGGCTGTAATCTTTCCAGGGGCAGGTGGCTAAACTCTGCAGAGCTAACCCTTGGAGAACAGCTGGAATGTTCAGACCACCAACCATTCATCTAGCCGCCAAGCGCTTAACTCTTTGTGCCACCAGCCTCCTTGCCCAGGTGTCATAACCTCTTATAACAACTTATAACCTCTTATAACCTCTTATAACAACTTAGTGTTGTGTTCATGAAAGGGAGTGAGAATGCCGCTGTCATTCAGCAGTGACAGGTACTCAATGTAGAAAACCTGCTGACGAGACTCTGGGAGGGGCCGCCCACACCGGAGGGAACCACCGTTGCTTTTCTCACGCATTTAGTTCCGTGTGGCAGCGATACAGTTTGAAACTTCAGGGAATGAGGGAATGTAGTGGAGGCATCAAAAGAGTGAAGATATGCAAATTCTTTTAAAAGATTGGAGGAGCAAAAAGGAAGTCAAGTCCATTCTTAGCAAGGGTTGTGTGAAGAAGCCAATAGATACGTTTAAAGGATTAATAAGGGCGGGCATTTGACTCTGCACAAACCATGTCTTACATTTGAAAGCTCTGCTCGTTTGAAAACACAAAAGACATTACAGTACAAACAAGCATTGGCCCCAGTATCCCGTTAGTGGTTTGTTGAGTTCATTCAGCTACTTCAGTCAGTGCTGTTTCCTGTGCAAAGGATGCAATCCCGAGTTCAGCAGTCATTCATCTCCTGCGGCTCTGCGTAGCCCAGCAAACATTATCTTACTCCCCTTTGCTGCATACATCTGATTATTGGACTGGTAGTTCCTCTTCTTCATAATAAGAAACAAGGTAAATTAAAAAACCAAAGCAAAGCTGACCAAAAGTTTCCAAATAACAGAAGACTTTTAGCTTAGTGATCTGATGTCTCTTATCAATTATTTGTTATAAACTTGATCATCAGTCTTCACTTAGGTATCGATAAGCTTTATTATTTTCTGAAATGCTGATCATCATAAATTTAATAAGATTTGTCCCCCCAAAAAAGATAAAATAAAATAAAAATCTATATTACTTTTTTTTATATTAATGAAAGGGCCTAAATGCTTTTTTTTTTTTTGCTAGTAATATTTTTAGTTGGAGTCTATGTATTTAAGGAATCAATTAGATGTAAATATCCAACTTTTGTTGGCATTCATTTCTAAATCTCACGGGAAGAGGTTGCCTGTCTTTCTCCTATAGAGCAGCTAGTGGAATTGAACCACTGGCCTTTGAGTTGGCAGCACAAATCCTTCCCTACAAGGCCACTAAAGTTCTCCCTCCATCAGAAAGTCCAAGCTACTATATCCAGGTCCAGTTCCCCACTTTCTTCTCTAATGTTGAGTCCTCCTGCTTCTCTGATATCTGAAAGGTCTCTCTCATTTTCCTGAGAGTTAAAGACATTACATTCGCGTCGAGCCATCATCTCTGTAATTGCGGGAGGAGGGAGGCTCTCGTGTGACCAGTCAGTAGAATGTCCCTGTAAGTCAGAATGCCTGTTACATAAGCAGCACCATTCTGAGCAGCCTTTATTAAGAGCTAGCTACATTGGCCACTCTAATGAGTCCTGTCTCCCATTTTTGTAGCACTTTGTACTTTTGTAACTTTATAATTAGCTCATTTGAAGCCCACAGCAATCCCCTCAGGAAGATAGGGCAGCTGTTGTTATCCCCGATCTGTCAAAAAAAGCTAACTGTGTTCTGGAAGATTCCAGCAAATAAGAGAAGTAAGGCTGGAGCCCTGGGTGCTGCCCCATCAACATGGCCCTTCCACTTGGGAGTGGCGTTGTCAGCTGGGCTGAAAGGACATCAGCAATACCTTTCAAACCATTTTGCACAATAAATCATGTTTTCCTTTTGTACCTCTCAAAAGCATCTTTAGTTCATTCCCAAGAGCTTTTAATCAACAAGCATATTATATACATATTTTTCCTAATAACTCATTTTACCAGTTCAGTTGTGTGTTAGGAATTAAGATGTCAGATTATCCAGAGAGAACAAGTAATTTGGTGTATCCAGTACACAGAGTATACTACACGTGTCCTTCCTTCTCTGCCAGGCCTCTGCTCTGTAGATGTTTCTGGCCTCTAAACTGTTGGAATCCTTCTCTGACAAGCCTCTGCTCTGTAGATATTTCTGGCCTCTTAAACTGTTGGAATCCTTTTAAGAGAAGAAATGTATGAAAATGCACTTTTCTTATTCTATCACCAGATCTGCCTGTAGGGAGAGAAGATAATAAGTATCGGAGGAGGATAATGATTTTTCAACTTTCATTCGTCATTCCACAGGAGACAAGAGGCCAAAAATATCTCAGAATCCTGCTGTTTCCACCCACAGCTCATCAGCGCTTGCCACATACGAGGCAGATGAGGGGATGGGTAACCCAGGCCGTGGGTGTCACGAGGAAGAGCATTTCTTGAGAAATTTTGTCATCAGAGGCAATTGAACATGTATACGCAATGTTTACGTGCTTTTCCTCCCCAGTATATGCAGGCTGAAACCAAAAAATCATTCCTAGAATCATAAAGTCTTAGAAAGAATAGAACAAGGAGGTTTATGTAATCAAATTCTTCTCTGTCCATTATGAAGAAATTCCTAGTGGAGAGATTCTGTCGTTAAACCAAGCCAATCTCATTACCATCCAGTAGACTGAGACGCATAGCGACCCTGAAGGATGGTAGGGCTGCCCCCGTAAGTTTTCCAAGGCTGAAATCTTTACAGAAGCAGGCTGCCTCACCCTTTTCCCATGGAGCAACTGGTGGGTTTGAAGCACTAACCTTTCAGTTAGTAGCCAAGCGCTTAACTAGAACTATTTGGCAATGTCACTTTAAAGACTGAGGTGTGCCTGTATCAAGCCATGGGACCTTTATTTGCATCCAGCGCATCCGAAAGTTGGACAGTGAATTAGGGCAATTGAACAAGAGTCAGTGGCCTTGAGTTATGGTGTTGGAAACGTACTGAATATCCTGTGGACTGCAGAAAGGATGAATAAGTCTATCTGTCTTGGGAAGAAGTACAACCAGGATTCTCTTTAGACTCAAGAATGGTAGCACTCTATCTCACATACTGTGGACATGCAGCCAGGAGGAGCCAGTCCTTGGAAAAGGGTATCATAACGGAAAAGGCGGAAGGTCAGAGGAAGAGAGGAAGACCCTCAACAAGCTGGACTGACACAGTGACTGTCACAAGGGCTCAAGCACAGCGGAGATGGTGACGGTGGTGCCGGATAGGAAGAGGATCAGATCTGTTCATAGGGTTGCTGTGAGCCGTAGTCAACTGCACAGCCCCTGAAAACAACCACCTTGGTTCTGTCACTAAGACGATGTAGTAGAGTCTTCGTTGTAGTCTGGATCTTCCAGAGTTAGCATGAAATACTGAAAGGAAGTCATTTCTTTGGTCCAAGTTCCCATTACAGTTCCTCATAGCAGAGCATACCAGCCACAGGCTGTCCCCTTCGGGACCTCACCGTGCTTTGTTCCTCCCTGGCCCAGTAGCTGCCCACCTGCCTTCTCCTCAGAGTTACCTAACAGTGTTGTAACAGACACCCTAAGTGATGGCATAAACCAGCAGAAATTGGTTTTGTCATGATGTAGGAGCCCAGAAGGCCAGCTCTAGGTGATCTTGGTGATGGCCAGCTCTAGGTGATCTAGGTGATGACCAGCTCTAGCTGATGGCCAGCTTAGGTGATGGCCCACAGGGTCCTCTGGTGGTTGTGGAGGAAAGTCTTTGTATCCTTCAGCATCTGTAACACAGTTGTCACTCAGAGACTTCCAAGGCCCTGGCCTTTCCCATTGTTGAGAAGCTCCCTCTCACAGGGGCCTGAGTGCAGAGACACACACTTCATTCCTGGGAGTTATTTCTTGTGTCAAATTATATTCCGCTCTCTAAGCTCATTTTCCTCTCATGTCATCTTGAAGGCCACATCCTAGGGAAGTCTCTCTTAGATTAAGGAGTTACATTTCACCTTTACTTCTTTTTACAAGTTTTGGTTTATGAGTTAATGGGAGATCACTGTCTATGTTTGGGCAAACACAGTTCAATCCATGATGCTACTATTTTCTGCCCCCTTCCCCCCCCCCTTTTTTTTTTATTTCATGCCCATCATTCAAAATCATTTGTAAACTCCGGGGAAGGGATCAGGAAAGAGCTCTTCAACTTTCATCCCATTGTTTCTCTAGAACCCAAAATGCCTGGCACATAGTAGGTGCTCAAGAAATATCTGTTAGATGATTTAGCAAATGAATCCCAAGAAAAGGAGTACATAAACTTGGGAAATCTTAGTTTGTAATGAGGTACAGTGTTAGTAGAGTAACATGAGAATAAAGGCATGATAACTTGTTTATTCTCAAGTCAGAGCTTTATATCATTTTTTCTTATTTTGATAGCTGTATAGATAATGGACAAAATTTGTGCCTTATCCATGATCAAAATTCATACCTGACTTTATCAGAATAAAAACCTCCCAACTAGATAAGATACATACATCATCACCCTGAGTGGCGGTGGTGGTTTTTCTGTGTCATCGAGTCAGAACCGACGCATAGTTGACTCTGTCATGTTTTCAAGAGGCTGTGCATCGTACAGGAGAAGATTGCCTGTCTGTCTTCTGTGGGGCCGCTGGCGGCCTCAAACTGAATGCCTGCAGTCAACAGTGCATCTCCTTACCTCTCTGCAACCCAAGCAGTCTGGAAAATCAAATATACCTACCTTTAGGTCTAAGAGCCAGCTGTAGACAGGAAAAATTGTTTTTTGAAAGTACTTAATAAGACACATAAGTCCAGTGATGCTGTTGTTCCTGGATTACAAAGCAAAACCCTGGAAAGTGTGAGAGCTTAATACGAGATGGTTGGTTACTCATTTGTGCTTAACACCAAAAGCTTCTCTTCACTTCTCTTCCTGGTCAAGAGTGAGCATCGTAGAGAGGTAAAGTTTGGAGTATGGAGTGACAACATAGCAAATCAAATGGCTGCAGGATAATGGTACAGCTTGACCTGTCGGTTGCCAGAACCTTTAAATAGTTACAGCTGAGTGAGTTGTTGAGCCTGTGGCAGTGGGCTTAACAGGCGCCGTGAAGACTGACAATGGTGCAGGGCTGGGCAGGGTTTCTTTGTGATGTTCATACAGTTATCATGAATCGGAGGCAACTCGACAGAGCCTGGCCCTAATGACAAGTTACCGAGCCCACGTGTGCGATACCACCTGACATTACAAATGAGACATTTGAGATTTAAGAAAGTAAGTGCCTTACCTCACAGCAAACCAGATGAATTGATGCAGTGACTGCAGCGATGGGCTTGAGGGTGCCGGCGATTGTGAGAATGGCACAGGATAGGGCAGAGTTCAGACCTGTTCATAGGGTCACTGTGAGTCATATTGGACTTGACAGCACTTCAAACACACCACAGCAACAACAAGAAGGGGCAAACCTTCAGGCTCCTGAATTGAAGACTTTTCCAGAATGCCAACTCCTGATTTTGCATTCCAGGAGAAGACGTCTGCCTGATCAATTCCTGCCTGTGCATTTGCTTCTTCTGGATCAGTCACCAGTCACATTAGTGAGATCATAAAGTATTTGTAGCTTCATGTCTGACCTAGTCAGCTGGTGTAAAGCTTTCCAGATCCACCGTCCATGTGATATATGTCAGAACTACGTGCTCTGCGGGTTTGTATTCTCCACTGCTGAGAATTATTCCATTGATTGTATATGCCACGTTTGTCTCTTCATTCATCTGGGAAAGACACTTGAGTTACCTCACCTTTGGCGTTGTCAAGAACAGCTGCAGTGAACACTGTGTACAGGCGTCTGTTTGGGTCCCTATTCTCAGTCCTTTAGGCAGGTACATGCCTAGCAGTCAATGAATTCTTCCTTAAATATTGGTGTAATTATTTTTAGGGATGGAACCCCATTCAGTGCTGACTAAGCCCAACCAGTTAGGATTTTCCCTTGGATATATAGGCATCATGTATGTTTTCTACAGGCAGAATGGAGAGTGAAACTGTAAGGTTTACAGTTGATGAATGTTGGCTCCTTAAACTTGAGATACCAAATGTGCTGTTTATAATATCTTTACTTACACATTTCTCTTCCAGGCTGTTCCTTACTCCAGAGAATTTAAGCAGAAATATGACTACTTCAGGAAGAAATTAAAGAAGCCTGTGAGTAATTTTGTCTTCCAAGAAATACTGTGTTTGTATTATTATTTAAGCCCCCAGTGTTACTTCACGGGAAGGATCTTATTTGCCACTTTTACATGTAAACTAAAACATCATCTTCTTTCTTCCACTTTGGTCTGCCTGCATCTCTAATCTGAATTTTTTAAACAGAAGTAATATGTTAAGAAGAACCATATCCTCAGTTTTCTTTTGTGATATATAAACAAAAACAACAACAACAAAAATAATTTCTTAAGAGAAACAATTTAGACCTCTAGTTTAAAAACAATGACAAAACTGGAAATCTTATTCCATTGTTAATGGCTGTAATAATAAAATGAAACAGCAAACCCCACTCTAAGTGGGTCAATTCCAGTTCCTAGAGACCTGCTAGGACAGAGGCCCCTGCCTTACAAGGCTTTCAAGGCTGCAATCTTTACGGCATTTGATTGTCTCATCTGTCTCCCTCTGTGCTGCTAGTGGATTCAAACTACCAACCTTCTGGTCAGCAGTCCAACACTTAACCCACTACTCCAGTTTATCATCATAACCCCCCACCCGTTCTTTGTCATCAAATCAGAACCAACCCAAAGCTGTCCCTCCAGTGGGTTTTCCTAGGTTGTAAGTTCCATGGGAGGTGATTGCCTTTGCAGGATTTGAACCACAAAAGAGGAACTGCCTTTGAAGTAGTAGTGCAGCTCCCTAGAGACTATGCCAACAGAGCCCAAATTAATAAAATGACCTATGTCTAAAACCTAGACTGTGGTTAGGAAAGTGCTCAAACCTCTAAATTCAGAAGTACAATTTTAATAATATTTGGCAGGGTTAGGATTGTGTATGGTTACCTGATTAACATTCTCACTGGCAATTTTAACCTGAGAACCCAGGTAGATGTTTAGAGTCAGTGTCTTAAATGACAGTCTTCCTTTCTCCACTGAGGTATTCCTGGCCCACAGTCTTACAGGGGCCTCTGCCTTGCATTCTGCCTCCACCTCTGGCTGGTTTATCTATGGTTGTCTACGTTTGCTCTATTTAGAATGGAGACACCAGCGCCATTCCTTGACTTCCCTTCAGTGGGGAAAGGAAGGTTCTGGCTGCACCCTTAAACCTTCCAGTTTGCCTGTGTCGCTCACCATTTTCCTGGTCCTTATTTGACCCCTTATTATTGGTGGTGGTGGTGGTGGTGGTGGTGGTGGTGGTATATGCCATTGAGTCAACTATATAACTCATAGCGAGTCTCTACAATGGACAAGGCATAGGGAATGTACAGATACAAGAGACACCGCCTCAGGGACCCCCAGTCTCCGAGGGGTTCCACTTTCCAAACTCAGGGATTCAGAGAGCTCTGGATATGTGAACTGGCTCTGCTCGTCAAAAACCCACATTTAGACACGTAACTTCTGAAATGTCTCTCGGTGTGTCCTGCACATTCCCACCAGTGAAAGGTGGGATCGCTCCTCCTCACTCTAGAAGAGACCTCCTGCTTTCAGCAGTCCAAAAACCAACAGCCATTCTTCCTGGGACACTGACCGTGGGCCTTTTTTTGTCCAGGATGCAATTCACACACTCAGGCTGGATCATTTTATCATCCAGTCAGTTGACTACAAGGTCCTTCCCCAGAATTTGGCATAATCTGAGTCCCATTCCCTGAGCCAACAAAATTACCTTATCGACACCAGAGATCATATGTCCCAGCTCACATCCCCACCACAGTTGAGACTGATTCCTACCTGGCTGTTGTGGTTAGAGACTGACTCACAGTGGCCCCATGTTACAGGATAGAACTACCCCTTAGGTTTCCTAGGCTGCAATCATCATTGGGCGGGGGAATCACCAGTTCTCATCCTGCATGGAGCCGCTGGGTGAATTTGAACTGCCAGCCTTTCAGTTAGCAGACAAGCACGTAACCATTGTGCCCACAGGGTTTCTCTAACTGTGCTAGCTGGGGTTTATTTCTTTATGAGTTTTTCTTAATTACTGTCCTCTCCCTTGGTCCATTACCCTGTGGAATTGCTTGTACTTTAATTTCTGTGGCTAAATTGATGCGCTCTGGTTGAAGGATGGTCCTTCACCTCCACCAGCCTTTCGGCAGCGTGAAATGCTGTGTCTCATCTTATTATGGCGAGATTCTCCATCTGTGGAGGAAACAACCATCAAGAAGGGGATCCTGGTTCAAACCATCTGCCACTGAGTCTTCTCTTCTTTTAAAAACCCCATCATTTCTTCTTTGCTTTCCTTGTGTGTGTGTGTGTGTGTGTGTGTTAGGAACTAAGATATAGAGTCATCATCATCTGATAATGTGCTTTGTTTTTAATAGGCTGATATTCCAAATAGATTTGAAATGAAACTGCACAGAAATAACATATTTGAAGAGTCCTATAGAAGAATCATGTCTGTGAAGAGGCCCGATGTCCTCAAAGCTAGACTCTGGATTGAATTTGAATCCGAGAAAGGGCTGGACTATGGGGGCGTGGCCAGAGAATGGTTCTTCTTGCTGTCCAAGGAGATGTTCAATCCCTACTACGGACTCTTCGAGTACTCTGCCACGTGAGTATCCCGAGGCCACAAGCCCTGTGTCCCGCACGGAGAGAGTTTCATTCTTAACTAAGGGCATAAACTACACATTGATCAGAGATGAATTAATGCTGCTAATTCCAGCACCGTGCCAACCCTGGCCCCTTGTAAGTGTCAAACAGTCTGTGACTACCTAGTCAGAGAAATAGTGGACTCTGTGAACACCTAAAATTGAGTCTTCCCTTGTCTGTCGGCTTTGTGTAATTGAGATGGAAAGTGTGCTGGGAAATTTCACTAAAGAGCTAGAGGCAGTTTTCATCTGTAATGTGTTCATTTGTGACGGAAATTCACCGCTGTCAGAATTCAGAACACGGTGTCGTTTTATGAACAAGAATAGTTAGACCTCACTATGATAAGATTCTGAGGACTTTGGGGCCCGACCTCAGAACACCCTACTCGTCCCCTGGACTGGAAAGAAGACCCCATTTCCCCGTGTTGCTTGTGTTCCGTGGCTGCCAGACACAGAAACGGAGGCAGATTCCAATAGTCTCAGCACACAGATGTCAGCTGCCTCTGAGGCTGACCATTGCCCCTCCACGTGGTGGGACTTCCGGGGGCTTCAGCTGGACCTGAGACGCAGGAATTGACCTTACTAACTGGCATTAACTGCCTTGTAATCCTGTGCTCTCCAGCGGCTATGACTTCATTGTTTTCTGTCTGGTCCCCACATCCCGGGGGCTTATTTGGAGGGAGGGCATCCTCAGAGCCTCAGTCTCAGTTGTTCCAGCCAGCCAAGAATTACCCAGAGCATTTGATGATGTTTTTACTGAGATCTGTCACAAACTGTCTCGTGGAGAACTGATAGGATTAAAATGCATGGCAAATAAGGTAGGTCCTTACCTAGAACCAAATACTAGAATTTCAAGGTTTTTCCACAAACATTGGGACGTTTTCATTGTTGGAATGGCTGTACAAGCCCTGAGCAGTGTCATAGAGACCATGAGTGGAGTCATAGGTCATAGGAAAAATATTAGGTTGCCAAACTGAGTTTCTCCAAGGTGTCCCTCCTGCGTCACCTCCCGGGAACCCCTGGGTAACCTGCTTGTTATATGGGATTTCTCATCTTAAGATATTTGGTTGAACAATAGGAAGTCGACACTTGTGGGTCAGAAATTATCAGATATCAGCCACGGGTTATGGTTTGAATTGATACAGAAGACCCACGCCTCATCTCTGTTGGGCTTCAGCCATTGGGTGTGGGGATGACGGAAGAAGGGTAAGTCCGTGTTCTTTAGCTCACGTCTTCTCGGTCACAGAGTGTATGTAAGTGCTTCGTAAAACTGCTGAGGGGCAGGCAGCAAAGGAAAACTCAGGTTCTTATTTGAAAGTCTGATGGGACCCTTCTTCTCTTCCTCCCTCCCAGGGACAACTATACCCTTCAGATCAATCCCAATTCAGGCCTCTGTAATGAAGACCATTTGTCTTATTTCACATTCATCGGGAGGGTCGCTGGCCTGGCAGTGTTCCATGGGAAACTCTTAGATGGTAAGTTCTTACAACATCTTGAAATACTTCCAAGAGTCCGGGGCCCCTTCAGGCTCTGTCAAGTGGTGGGTCTTTAATGTCATAGATTAGAAGCAAAAACCACACTGGTTCTCTCCTTCTTCTTGTTACTGTATTATTCTTTCATTATTTTTATGTTTTGTACTAATTGGAGGTGGTTTTCCCTGATATCCTCCTAATTTAGACACTGAAGGCATACTGTCTATACACAGTTTAAAAATTAAAGTTCAGCCTGAATTTGAAAGTACAGAACATTCTGTATTCCTGCACTTGCTGTATTTTCCAGCATCACTTTCCTTTTGCAACAACTAGATCTGGCAACAGATGGAAAAGCTAATTGAAAAGTTAATTAAAATGATCTAATCCATCCAGTATCCTGCCATTGCTCCATTTGTCCCCAAATTATTTTTTAATGTGAAGAGACTGTAAATAATTTCAAAGCACTGATATGGCGCAGCTAAGACCTTCTCTCTGGACTCACGGCTGAAGCTGATGACACACAACATCCGCAGTCTTCTTCAGGGCACGCACAACCCGGGGGTCTTTGAAAGCACCTTGAAAGGTAGAAGTCCACCCTGGCTCTGTGTGGGGGTTTATCAGAAAGACTGCTTGGGCATTTGGTCTTTTCCAAAGTAGTCCCCTTAAGGGAGCACGATGGAAATCATCAGTGGGAAGAGAATCAGGTCTTTTTAGAGAATCTGGAAGTGATGTGAGGGGGAGTGGGCAACCAAGAGTGAGATTTGAGGTTGGCCTGCAGTCAGTGTGGAGAGAGCTCCAGGAGAACTGAAATTGCTCGTGGCTCATGCTTGGAACCGCGGGGTGTCTTCCTGTGCCGCTTCCATTAGTGGTGTTGGCTGATAATTGCTAGCTGATTGTGCTCCTCTGGTTTCAATATTTTCTTTTTGTTGGGAGAAGTAAACACTATTTCTGATTAGAAGTAAACTGCATTGGGTAGGAAGGGAAGAAGGCGGTAAGAGAGGAAGGAAGGTTAGAGGGAGAAGGAAATAAGTATTTTTTCACTTGCAATGTTGAAATAATATGCAAAATTCTCTCCAATGGATTGTGTTCTCTTCACTCTTCTTAGAAGCAGGTCGGTTTATTGAGTTGCTGCAGAATGAGAAGACTATCTTAGTTGCTGCATTCAATATGGAAAAGTACAAGATACGGTCCTTAAACTCGGTGGATTTTTAGCCTAGCAGGGAAGTGAAAATAAAATAAATGCAGTCCCGGGTTGCTTGGAGGAAAGATGAGACCTGAGTAGAGGGTCAAGAACAGTTGTGTGAGGACCACCTGTGATGTGAGGGAGCAGGACTTGATGGGGCTAGTGGCTGAGTTGTTTCAGGAGAGAGAGGGGGGACCAGCGGGCACCACATCAGAGCTCCGTAGAGGGAGTGATGGATGCCGTGGGCTGAATGGAAGCCAGGGGGACGCTGAAGTGGTCCATGTGAAAGGGGGTAACAGTGCTGGTCAAGAATGTCAACATCACAGACCAAGACGGCCACAGATGTGTGTGGTCAGCATTGTCTTACATTTTCAAAAATGGGGTTGACCCTTTCGCCACGTGTCCACACTCCATACCCTGCCTGTACACCCTGGTGTCAGCTGTTTCTTCATCACCTCCCTAAACACTAAACTTCAGAAGATTTGAGTTCAAAAGGAGGACTGAGAAGACAGAGTCAAGTATTGTAATGAAATATGCAGAGACCTGGAGTTAGAAAACCAAAAAGAAAGAGTACATATGACCTTTCTCAAAAACTGAAAATGTAAACTTCACATTCCAGTCCTGAAGGGTTTCATCACGAAAATGTCAAATGACTCAGGAACCGTCAAAAGAAGATAGAAGAAACTCAAAGAGTGATCGTACTAAGAAGAGATGGTCAGTGTTCAGTCATCTGAAGAGAGGACACACTGAAGGAAGATGACCAGGCTACATGGAAATCGATGGCTGAAATTGAGCCTCGTACAATTGACAGAATGCCGCCCACGATGTTTCAGCAAAGCAGTGCAGCTCTGGAAGCCGTCACTGTCCTGTGCAAGAAGACAGCTCCCTGACCAACACACCAGACAAGTTCTGTAGTTTGTGTCCATTCCAGAGAAAAGTGATTGACAAAATGCAAAAATTATCCAACAAGAACTGTCAATAACAGATGCAAGTAAATTTCATGAAAGCGACTTCAGAAACATCAGGGCACTGGCAGGAAGCAGCCACACGTCCAAGAGGGATTCAGAGGAGGATGTGTGGAGCAAAAGATATCATTGCTGATGTCATATGGATTTTAGCTAAAAAGCAAAAAATTACCAGAAAGCTGCTTACCTGTGTTTTATTGACTATGCAAAGGAGTTTGACTTTGTGGATCATAACTAATTATGGCTAATAGTGTGAAGAATGGGAATTCCAAGACACTTAGTTGTGCTGGGGACATATAATCAGGAAGGACAGTAACTGGAACAGAACATAAAGCTTGGGCAAGTAGTTGTTGCTGTATGCCACCAAGGTAGAACCAACTCAGAACCGACCCTCCAGTGAGCTTCAGAGGCTTCTTTCCCCGTCTGTGGGGCTATGTAGATGCCCTGTGTGACCAGGTGCATGATGCTTTGCCTGTGGGCAGGGAATTGCCATCCCCCTGAGGTGGTTGGTTCTCCCTTAACCCCTTACCTTTCCTCTCTTGGTCTTGGAAGACTGTGCAGGTGTCAAGCCTCTTTGTGAACTTATCTCTGTGTTACTGGGCCCATGATCGCTCAAGGAACAATACAGAGATGCAGATGGGATTGCCACCCAGCTTCTCAGTAGCTCCAGGCTCTCCTCAGGGAAAAGTTCAAACTCTGGGACGACACACAGACCATACAGACCCCCTCCCCTCTCTCCTCCTCTCTTCTCTTCCTGTCCCCAGACACTCACACCTCCTCCCTCTCAAACCACTGGCCAGTCCACAGTCCTGACCATTTGCTCAGAATGCTCTTCTATCCCAGTCCATGTGCCTTGTTTGCGCAGCAAGCTCTGCTTGCCATTGACGTTCATTGTCACATCTCATCAACCTGTTAGGCCCCTTCCTGCTGCACCCATCTCCACTAATGCCACTACCCAGGACCAGGCCCCATCCACTCACTCAGATATTGTGATAGGAGGTCCTAGTTCACTCTGTCCAGGCCTCTCCTTCAAATTAAAGGAAGGTTATCTTTTTTTACTTCATGCTCTGAAGCTCAGCAGTGTCAAAGACTTTAAAGTCAACTCTCTTCTCTCTCAGGTTTCTTCATCAGGCCGTTTTACAAGATGATGCTGGGAAAGCAGATCACACTGAACGACATGGAGTCCGTGGTGAGTACAGTGGGCACCCTGGGCGCATGTACTCGGGCGCCTGTGTTAAGTTACCTGAGACCAGGCTTAGAGCCAAACGATGCTGTGGGTGCCGCCTTTCTTCAGTGTGAAGGCAACAGGCAGTGTTGGCTTGGAGAAGTTATTTTTTTGCCCTATTTTTTGTAATAAGCAAGTCCTCATTTGTAGAGTGTTGGAATTTAGGGCAGATCTACCCAGGAATCAGGCTTGTTTGAACAGAATCACTCAAAGGGAAATCTGGAGAAATCCCTACAGTCAGTGTGTCTAGAATAGGTAGATAATAATGATCAAGGATCTGTCCATTTCTTCTCAATCCTGTGACGCGTGGCAGGGGTGCACGGCCAGAGCAGCCAAGAGAAGAATCATTATTGAGATGTCCTCGATGCTGTCAAGGGAGTGAGCACATCCATGAAGCAAAATATTATGCTAATATGTTTTGCTAATTTTATGCAAAATATTATGCTAATATAATAAACTGAATGCTATGAGAACCTCTCTGAAAAACGGAGATGTGATTGGGGCTTTCCTTTTGCACATCTTCATTTCACCTGTTGTTGTTGTTGTTTACCGTTGAGTATGAACTAACTCGTAGCTGTCCATCCAGTGCGTTTTCAGAGGCAGTGAGTTCACAAGGGAGCAAAGTATCCCGTTTTCTCCCTGAGAGCAGCTGGCCGGTTCAAACCACATGCCTTTCCAGGTTGTCAGCAGAACCCTTCCCACTAAGGCACTAGATCTAATTTTAACTAGCTGGGTGTTTAAGATGTGAACAATTATTATAAAGACAAAAGTTGGAAACTCTTCTGTGTTCTGTTGCTTGTTTTTCTTTTGATTTGTTTGCACCCCTGGGCCTGCCCCAGGACCATGTATGGCTCCCCAAATGTGGACATTGAAGTGGGCTCACTGGGAAGCATCCTTGTCTTCGGGGGTGTGTACAGAAAGCCTCCTTGGGCCTTCAGCCTTGCTCTGAGCGTAGCCATGTCTCTTACACACTCACACTGCCCCACAGGGAAGGGATGATGCTGGCCACGCGCTTCTACCCACCCAGCTGACTTTCCCATCGTAAATGTGTGTGTCCACAAAGCTGTGGTACCAGGTTCACATCTCTCTTCTACCTTGACCCTTTACTTGTGCCATATGGCTATATTACTGCAAAACAGGGACGCTAAGAGTATACAGACTTCTCCACACTAAGTCCATTCTCCTACCGCGTGCTCCCAGTCTTTTTGGTGCAGCAGTAGAGTCTCTGTCACTAAGCAGAGATAGGAGATGAGATTCTCATAGGATTTACTCTGGGTTTCTGGACTAGAGACAGACCCCTGGTAGTACAATGGGTAAAACACTCAGCTTCTAAGCAAAAGGTCAGTGGTTCAAAACTATTCACTCCAAGCATGGCTTGATCAGCATTCCAGAGTCCAAGATCCAACCACAAGCCTCCCTCACTCCCAGAACCATCTTTTTTCCATTGTCATTTTAAATTATTCATTTTTCTATTAAAAGAGAAAGAGTTGATTTGGGGGTGGAACCAGAAACATTACATTGGTAATAGTAACTCTTTAACAGTCTAAAAGAAGTTGGACAAAGACTTGCCTTTCCCCTCCCCCCGACAGTTGTAGAGTTTATTAGTAAGATAGGTTGGGGAATAGGAGAGGCAGAGAATATCATACAGTGCAAGTCCAGGTTTAGTCCAGCAAGACTTGACTTTTTAAAGATGAGAGATGAGTTTGTATTTTGAGGGGAGAGTCGCTTAATTTTAATTTCTGTGTCGTTCCTTTAGGATAGCGAATATTACAACTCTCTGAAGTGGATCCTAGAAAACGACCCCACTGAGCTGGACCTCATGTTCTGCATCGATGAAGAGAACTTTGGACAGGTGCGTAGAGGGAACCAGGAACTCTCATTTGGTCTTCAAAGAGCACTGACTTTTCCACAGGCTGTACCAGAACTTTGCCAGACACTTCACAGTCAGGAGTTTAGATGTTAATCACCATTTGATTATACCAGCTAGAAGCCAGGGCCGCTTGCAAGTCTTCCTCTCCTCCAGCATCAGGTTCGAGAAATTCTGAGTGGTCTCAGGGCACAATTGGCACCTGCTTCTAATCTGAAGCAAATTCAAGTGTGAATGATCGTGTGTGTCTTGGTTTTTTAAATTCGGTAACTCTACTAAAGGGTGCTGTGGTTTTCATTATAAAAGTAGGGGACTTGGGGAAGGCAGAAAACTTCCGGTCTCCAGGGAAGCAAGGCAGCCCCACTTGATCTGGCTCTCACGGGTTTCAATCTCCGGCAGTGCTAAAGTCAGGAGCAGGTGAGCTCTAGAGCCTGCCTTCCTGAGAGTCGGCTTTCACTGTTCCCATCTCCTACATGAAAACCAAACAAAATGTTTGCACGTCTGAGTCAGCTTTTAATAAAGATCTCGATTTTCCTTATCACTCATAAAAACAGTTCTCAAACCTCATTTAATGCTGCAGATTCTGCTGGCTTTTGAGTGAAATCTGGTCGAGTAATGTGGTAATCACAACAGACCCACAAGATGAGTAACGTAATGATTCTGTTAAATCACTCCTTGCCTTATTTAGAGATCTAGCCTGCTTAGCAGGGAGCAGATGGATCTGTTTTGCATTCTATCAGGAAATTGAGAACAAATTATACAGCCTTATCCTAATCCTGTCTCTTCTCCCACCCATCACAAAGCCCCATTCCCTTTACCTCCCGAATACCTACTATCACACCCATGTTGTTGTTGTTGTTGTTATGTGCCGTCGAGTCGCCTGCGACTCATAGCGACCCTATGTACAACAGCCCTAAACTCTGCTCTGTCCTGTGCCAATCGCACTGTCTCTGACACACCCATCCCAACTATCCCAGTCACTGAATCAATCCACCTCATAGAGGGCCTTCCTCTCCTGTGCTGTCCCTCCACCCTCCCAAGCATAGGGATATAAAATAAAAACTGGTTCTTTGGAGGAAGGAAAAATGTCTTTTTTATTAGCATTTCATAGAGGGGGCAGCTGGGTAGAAGATATAAATCAAGGCTCCTTAGGAAGCAATAAATTAAAAGCAAACTACTGAAAAACAATGAGTGGGGAAAGTGATGAATTGGTGAGTTAGAGACTGAAAATGGGACAGGGAGAAGGAACAGAGGCAGAGCAAGCTTGTAGCAGAAGAGGAGAATTTGAATTTCTGTAGTCCTGGAGACTGTACTGTTTCTTTCTTTTGTTAAAGATAATTTCTTGAGAAATGAAAAGCAGATTTTAAAAAATGGGTTACTGTTCTTCATTGTTGCTAATAGTTGAAGAATAATTAAATATCTTAAATAACCCTAAAAATAACTTGCCTTTAGTGGTAACACTTTTAAATATGTTTATCTTAATTCACTCTCAAAAGGACAAATACTGCATAAGGCCATTATTGTAAAAATAGAAGGATAACTAGTAACATGTATGGGGACCGAAGAGGGGAAGGGTTGGGAGCAGAGGGGTGAGGATGGGGAGGGGCGAAATCACAGGGCTGCACAATTTGGTGGGTGAAGGGAGGGAGTAAAGGAAATAGGAAAGATCCGGCGGGGAACTAGAAACAGGGTAATGGTGGGCATAGTCAGTCGAGTGGTGATTAATTTTATAAAACGTAATGAATGAGAATGTGTGAAACAGAACGTGAATGAAGAAGAGTGACAAACACAGTGTATACAAACTTTGGAAGCAAACGATTTTGCTTTGACATTGTCTTGTGTGGAGAATCTATTTTCTGGGAGAGATTTCTGGATATATTTTGTTTACCTCCTCATCATAGCATGATGGCTTTACTCAGGAATAATGTAGAGAATAACCTCATCATGACGATTATTCTGTCTTTGCGATTACAGACGTATCAAGTGGACCTGAAGCCCAATGGGTCAGAAATCATGGTAACAAATGAAAACAAAAGAGAATACATTGAGTAAGTACCCAGGATTTTACCTTTTCTTTAAATCACTTGTTTGACTGACATGTTGGCCAGAGTGCTCATGTGTGTTTATTGATTTGTACATTTGTTTATTGGTTTATAATCCATTTTCAACAACACAAGTGCCATCTTGGCTTGGCCAATGAAAAGCGGAATTGATAAGAAACTTTCTTGTATCAGAGACCCTCATGTTGGGGATTGTATCTCATTGCTCATTTGCCAACTGAAAGGTCAACAGTTCATGCCTACCTGCCACACTGGAAAGAAATATGTGTGAGGATTACAGCCTCCGACCCTACAGGGATGTTCTGGTCCATCCAACAGGGATGTTCTGATCCACCCAAGAGGGATGTTCTGGTCCATTCTGTAGTCTCTGGGAATCAGAATCAGTGGATTTTACTGGTATCATGACATCAGTGAACTGTCATAGAAACCAGCAGGGGAAGGACAGGAGTTGGGTGTTATTGGCTAATAAGGAAGAGTTTCTTGGACTATGGGCATACCTTGTTGGCTCAGGATAGGGCAAAGTTCAGAGCTGTTGTTTATAAGGTCGGTATGTTTCATAGTTGATGCTACATCACATAAGAAGTGTGAAATTAGAGCTGCACAGTGCTGGAATACAATATAAATTATCAGTAACATAAAATTAGCAACTACCGTCTTGCTGAAAAAGGGGGAGAGTCGGAGAAAGAGATCATTTAACACAGTGACTGTAACAGTGGGCACGTCAGACTGCCCTGTCTGACAGGGTCGGGCAGGGTTCAGGTCTGTTGCTCATAGGATCTTTATGAGTCAAGGTTGACTCAATGGTACCTCACAACAACCACCAAAGCTGGAATACTTCTCCTCTTTTCCGACTTCTTTTCCACAAGGAAAATAGTTCATGTGGCTAGAAAGAACACAACACATGCAAATGCAATGGACTCTTGCTCATCTTTTCCTGAAGTTGGTTTCAGCCCTCATTGGTGTCACCTGTGGCTGAGGGGTTTTGGAAGTCTGTTGGGTAATCCTAGGATATCGTGCTTCCCAGAAAGTCTTCCACTGAGCCTTCTTGCTTTTTCCTTCTCGGTGTATCTGCATTTGTGCTTCAAGCACACGGTTCTGCATTATCCCATGGAATTCCAGAGTGTCTCTTCAATTCCTGCTTTGGTGGATTAAACCTGGTGCAGGGACAAAAGGTTATATTCAATCTGTTAATGTGAAGCAGCACACTTGTTCCTAACTGGGAACAATGAAACTCTCATGAGACTTCCTGCCAGACTGCACTGTCTTAGTTTGAGAACAGGTTCTGAAATGACGCCCACCCCAGGGCCACTGGGCAGAAAATCCAAGGAGTCTGACACATGAAGTCTGTGTCCTGCATCATGCTTTTTGTTTTCCCATTTGGTAGGGGCTGCGGCTGGGCCCAGATCCAGCTTGCTTCACTGAAAAAATAATGATTGAAACCACCAGCTGTTCGCTGACACCTGTGCTCCCAGGGTGCACGAAGGGCGGTGTGTGGCTGCTGCTGCTGCCAGGGCAGCTCGGTAAAACCTGAGAGGACTGAGCCTGCCATTGGTGGAGCCGTTGCCATGGTGCCATCCCCAGGGATGAGGGCCCTTCAGAGCAAACCCTGGTGCCGTTTCCCCGTGAAACGCCTTCCGAGTGGATTAGCCTTCCAATAAATTCTGCTCAGCGCTAAATACGGCCTCGGGGAAAACCATTCCGGGGAATATCAGTTACTTAGAAGGATCCTACATTAATCCTCCAGATGCGGGCATTGAAATATTCATGGCAGTTGTTTTTCTCGTAAAGCTTATTATGCAGCACCATCGAAAATCAGTGCATTGAACAAGAGCATAGTATATGGTAAGATACGCTGCACTCCATACTAGTTTTTAAAAAACACATCTTCTACTTGTTTACAAACTCTTTAACGCACATAAAATATGCTTTATACACATTTATATGTAATATAAGGGAGCTCTGATGGCTTAGTGGGAAGGAGCTGTACTGCCAACCCAAAAGTGTGTAGTTCGAATCCACCACCTGTTCTTCCGGAGACGGGCAGTGTCCTGCCGTGTGATTTACAGCCTCTGGAAGCCCACTGGAGGATCAGCTATGAGTCAGTTCTGACATAACAACATACATATATCTGTATGTATGCATATGCACACACATTTATAATCATACTCCCTGGATTTTTCTCTTTTCTCCATGTGGTCACGTTTATAAAGCTATTTTGATATGCACAGCCCTTGATCTGAAAAAAAAAAAAAACAAACCACTGAGCATAATTTTTTGCAACAATCTGTACAATTTGAGGGGGGCTCTGGTGGCCTAATGGCAAGAAGCTGCACTGCATTCCCAGAGGTGCGCAGTTCGAATCTACCAGATGTTCTGCTGGAGAAGGAGGAGCAATCTCCTCCTGTACCAGTCGGATACGATTTGATGGTACACACACACAAAATAATAAAATAAAATGTTAAAAATAATCTGTGCAATTTGAACTTTCTCTCATGTTCCACTCAAGTATTGGGGTGAGTGAGAAAGCCGTGTGTTCCCCAGCACTAGGCCTTCGCTCTCACTGCATCGTTGTGGGGTTGCTTTTCCTTCCCTCCCTGATTAGAAGCAGTGGGGCTTGTGAAGGGATTCACGAGCGGGAACAAGGTGGAGGGGTCTGAACGCCTCTTTTCTCCCTGCAGCCTTGTTATCCAGTGGAGATTTGTGAACAGGGTCCAGAAACAGATGAACGCGTTCTTGGAGGTAAGCTCGGCCAGCCAGGTGCTCTGTCCATGCCAGCGTCAGAGGTGGAGGGCGTGGCTTTTCCCCTGAAGTTGACATAGTGGGTTGGGTCTTGCACCTTGAAGGTGGGGGTAAGAGGGGCTGAAATGAAGCATCGAGAATGTTCAACTCACCCTCCCAGACCAGTATCCAGGGTTTATTGGCCACACTGCCCATTTTTCCACATTTAAGTCTTTTCTTGGAGCCCTAGTGGTACAGTGCTTAGATATTTATCTGCTGTGACACTGATGTGTCAGATGCGAGAATGGTTACCCATGGTGGACAGTGTTTGGTGGAGCTCCCCAATTAAAACAAGCTTAGAAGCAGGAGTGGCATCTACTTCCAAAATAGCTTGCCAATGAACATGGAGAAACAATGAAAGTTATACAGGTGTTCAGGTCTCTATGAGTCATCTACGACTGGACAGCACTTAACAACAACAACAGCAATCATAAGATTAGGGGTTTGAACCCACCAGCTCCTCTATGAGAGATTGGAGCCGTCTCCTTCCATAACAGTGGACAGACCTGAAAATCCTCTGGGGCAGCCATGGATCAGAATTGCCCCAATGGCAGCAGGCTTGGTCTTTTCATGAAAGACTTTCCAGAAATGTAATTAGAAGGCCAGGTTCCCCCAGGGGAGTCTGGGACACAGACACATCTCCCTTTTCTGACACCTTCAAGGATTCAGAGCTGAACAGTCTGAACATGGAAACGTGACAGTTTCTGTTCACACTGTTCCCTCCCTATAGTGATGCTGCCCTTTAAACACTGTCTTAGCCCTATGGGTGCCCCACACAGATGCTGACCCCAGCTCCATCCCCTACACATGATGAATTAAAGGCCCGGGCCAGGACGAAGGCTCAGACGCCTCAAGGCCTTGGTGACTTGGCATATGAGGCAGTCAAAGGGCAGGTTTCATGACGTGTATGGACAGGGAGCCCCAGAGGCAGATGCCTGGGCTCCACTCCAGGTGGTCTGTGCATCCAAACAGCTTCTTACGGGGCCTCGAGGCATCACTCCTCTGTGGTCTCTTCTAGCTAATGATAAACAGAACTGAGATCTCAGTTCCCTCCAGATCATGTTGTTCCTTTGGCATGCCATCTCTGTGCATTGGTGGTTTAGTTTTTAGAATGTTCTCTTGTGCATCTGTGGCCTGTGCGTTTTAGGACACACTGGCTCACAGAGATGTGTCCCACATAGCTTTGGCGTCCACCTGCTGGCACCAGCCCACATGTTCCTCAGGCTTCATTGTTCTCAAGTACCTGCCTTCTGGCTAACACTATCTTTTAATACACTGTGCTTTTGTGGCAATTCCAGCCATTTGATACCATCACAGATACATGCATCACCAGTTAAAAAAAAAAGTTTTTCCTACCTAACCAAAAGTTTGCTTTTCCTTTAAAATATGTCTTATTCAAGGAAAATTGGGTTGGGTTTAATTGTGGGTTTGTTTTGTGTTTTTTTTTTTTTTTCAATTTCCCCTTCTTTTTTCCTTTCAGGGATTCACTGAACTGCTTCCTATTGATTTGATTAAGATTTTTGATGAAAATGAATTGGAGGTTTGTATTGTGAACGCCATTGTTTATATAGAAGATAAAAGGTACCCTCATAGTTTGACAAATAGATTTTCATATTCTCTGGTGCATAGCATCTGAAGGAATTAAGTGCAGATAGCTTCTATTCCTTGTGCCTTGTCTATGGGGCTGGTATGTTTGCTGACTTAGGGGTAAGAATAGCAGAAAGAATCAACTATAGAATCATTACCCAGAAGAGGACAGTTCTGGGACACATCATCGGATGTGTGGACTCCAGCTCTGGGTTGGTCTTGGGCTCACCAGGTACAGGAAGTTACATCAGGTAGAGCCAAGGCTTTTCAGCCACCCTGTGGGGCCATAAGCTGCTTCTCCATCCCTCCGGTAGCCACCAAAGGGGAAGGTGTGACCGTTAAGATGTAAGGATGGAAAAAAAGAAGGAAGGATGGAGGAAGGGAGAAAGGAAGGAAGGAAAGGAGGAAGGGAGGGAGGGAGGAAGCACATTGTAAGAGCTGGAGACCACTTCTCTCACGCCACTTGAAGTGGTTGGTGTTAAGGAAAACATCACACACCTCCAAGGTATTTCATGATTCTCTATTGCAGCTTCTTGATGTTGGCTGAGATGAGAGCTAGTCACATTAGGAGCCAGCGGCTAGAAACCTTTTTTGTGTTGAAAGAAACAGGAGGAAGATGGCAATGGCTGCTGAGAAGCTGTCGCTGCAACTCCGTTAGCCATTTGGCGCAGCCACGTCCTTCAATCAGTTCTCATAGACTGACTGTCCTCTTACCCTGAAAGCATCTAGGTAGATGGAGGCAAAGACACCACATAGGCTGAGCTCTGTAGGACAAGTCTGGCTGCACAGGTTTACCCAGCCATTCGCCTGCATAGGTGCGACCTGTTGTGCTGGTTTCTGGTTTAGTGTGCCATCCTTTTTCTCCGGTGTCTCTGCAAGGATAACATAGGCCAGTTTTTAACAAAGGACACTCCTTGCTGCGAGCTGAGGAGTAGAAGAGCAAGCCTGTTATAGATCAAGGAGTCAAGGCATTAATACCTGTCTCAGTCCCCTGGCTACTCGACAGGTGGAATGATTTCTCTCCATCTGGATCGATCAGCGTCAAGGAGAGAGTTCTTGTTATCACAGGGACAAATATTTCAAATAAAGAAACAGATAGCCCTTCAGAAGGGAAAACTCTAGTCATGGTAAAACGCGTGTTAAGAGGAGCTAAGAACATCTTTGGCCAGAATTAGGACAGAGAGGTGGAGAAGATTGGCTGGGAGCTTCTGTTTCCAGCAGGCCATGGCATTACGTTGTCCACACTTGGGAGTTGGGTCACCCCCTTGCCCTGTGATGTCCATCTTGTGTATGGTGACAAGTGACGTTGGGAACACATGTCAACCTTTGTATATTCTTATGAATGGCTTCACCCAGTAACAGAATGCTGGCATTGAGAGATAGCTAATTTCCTTGTGTCTGGTCTTGTCTTGCCCACCTGGCCTCCTTTTACCTGGTCATTGTCCTTCCTAGTTGCTGATGTGCGGCCTCGGCGACGTGGACGTGAACGACTGGCGACAACATTCTATCTACAAGAACGGCTACTGCCCAAACCACCCTGTCATTCAGTGGTTCTGGAAGGTAACGAGGCCGAGGGGGCCTCCCTGGGGGGGTGGGGGGGCCGGGGGGGTCACTCTCTGCTCTAAGCTGCTCCTCCAGCATCTAGCTGCCCTTGGTAGTCTCGTGGTGGCTAACATCAGGCATCAGGGTGCTATGTTTGCATTTGGGCCGTTAGGAGGCCAAAGAAGAAAGGGACCCAGAAGCAGCCCTTACGGCTCCCATCACACGTGGGCAGGAGATTGGGACGAAGCGTGCCCTCACCTGCCTCATCTGTCTGCTTTCTTCAAGTCACTTTGATTTGGAGAAACCAGCGTAGGATGGTTCTGAAAAAGAGCCAGCTGAGTTCAAGAGATCCGAATAGGTCAATCAGTTGTACATAAGAACAGGAAATTTCTCGAGGCAAAACCATGCTCTGGGGCCTCCATTTTTTTAAAAAATAAAATTTTTTGTTAATTATTATTTTAATGAACATTTACAGAGAAGTTTAGATTTTCATTCATTCATTGTTGCACATTTTACCCCCTCTCCTTCCTTTTCCCCTCCCCCAGTTCACATTTTTTTTGGGGGGGGGATGGGGGCTTCCTTTCCAAGGTGCCATTTTCTGCTAAGACTCTCTCTCTCTCTCATTCTCTCTCACACCCTCTCTCTCTCTCTCTCTCTCTCTCTCTCACACACACACACACACTCTCTCTTTCTCTCTCTCCCCCTCCCCCTAATTTTTGTTACTTCCAGCCAGCATTTTGAGCTTTGCTGAACAAAGATGGAAATGCAATCTGATTCACTCTTAATACCAAGGTTCTCATTGTTCTCAGTCTAGGAAGGAAGTTAAACTGGAAGGAGTGGGTATAAAAAAGACCTGATTGACTTTAAAATTTTAGTGTTTTTAAGTAGGCTAATTGTTTACTTCAAGAAAAAAAAAATCCCCTGACTTGTTTTAATTTCTGAGAGTCTATTATTAACAATATTTCAAGTGCCAGAAAAAGAGAGAAAAAAACAGAAAGTCCTGGTCCTCATATTGCGCTGCTCTGATCTTGGAGGAAATATTCTTTTAACTGTACTTCAGATAATACTAGCAATAAAGTCAGCTCAATTCCTGGCATAATTCAGACATGAAAGACACGCAGATTTTTTTTTTTTTATTTTAAGCGGCCTGACCTTTCTCCCCTTTTATAAAACGTTACCTTAGAGAATGTGTCTGCCTGTGAAATCCATCTCATGTTCCCCCATCCCGGGTCCCCATGGTGGTGCCTCTGTGAAACTGAATATTTATGACTGGTTTAGAGGAGCTGGCTAGCACACCTTCCACAGAGAAAGAAACAACCTTGCTGCCATCCAAGAGCTGGCCTTTTATCACATTTATTATGACATATTGGCAGGGGAAGAGAGAGACATTCTGACCTCTCTCTACAATTAAAAGACAGGACTGTGATGTTCACTGAAAAAGAGAAAAGCCTCCATTTTCAGGGTCAACCATCTAGATCGGACTGTGCCATGTAAATGAGGGTAAGCCCCGAAGCTGCATTTTCAGGGCGCTGGGCCTACCCTTCACTTACCGCCTGCCCTGTTCACAGGCCGTGCTGTTGATGGACGCAGAGAAGCGTATCCGGTTGCTGCAGTTTGTCACCGGGACGTCCCGAGTCCCCATGAATGGATTTGCTGAACTCTACGGTGAGCTGGTTCACACTGGGGCCAGGTCCCCTCCTGTGACCGTCTAGCCTGGACACAGCTGTGTCCCGAGAGGACTCTGCCTTTGGGGCCACTAGACACGACTAAGAGGGATTTTCATGATGATGTCACAGTCGGTTCAGCAAAGGCACACACTGTCCTCAGCCTTCTGTGTGTTCTGTTTGCAGCATAAACCGCCCCTCCTGACCATCTGTTTTGTTTCGTTTGTCTGGTTTTATTTTCTTTTTATTTTTGAATACCGTATTTTCCTTCACCTAACCCACCTCATGTCATCTGATTACTGATTTTCCCTGCCCTCTCTCCACCCCTCCCCCTCCTGGGATGGTTTTGGTTGTGATTTTCTTATCCATCTTAATGTTAGTAATATGCAGAGCATAGAGTATTACATAAAGCACATAATTTGCTAATGTTCAAAAACAAAAAATACTGAATTTATAAAGATACTGATAATAAAAAGCAATAATAATGAAAATGTCTTTTAAAAAGAAAAGAGGTGGTTGACTTATGTGGCAGCCAACTTAACGATGGATTGTTAAAACAGCGCCCTGTTGTAAGTCCAGGACTTCTGGGCTTCGCAAGGATGACTTGCACCAAGCTTTGACCCATTGCCTTCCTGTGGCCCCCCAGGGCTTCGCCTTTTGGTTTTTGTTCTGGGGATTTTGGTGCATCTTTAAAACCTAGGGTTTCCAGAAGCACCATGTGATTATTGTAAAGAATTCACCTCAGCGGGTACCCCATCGCCAAGCAGCAGGATTCTACAGTGCTCCCTAAATTTTTTAAAAATCATTCCTCTCTGTAAACAGAAGGTCATATTTCAATTTTTTTTCTCCCCGACATCGTTGTCAGTGTAACCTTGCAGGTTCAGAGGCTGTGTAGACTGTCTGCAGTTCCTTATTATGTTGTATCAGTTGAACTTGGCGAGATTCCACTCTGGAAGTTTGAGCAGCTTGTGTTGTAAGGTCGTGGGACCCCCATTGCTTCCTCAACAAGCAATATTATGTGATAACAGATGATGTAACTGAAGGGCTCCCCCCTACTTAAAGTTCTAATAGACGTTGTCTTCCCCTTTTTTCCCTCTTCTTCACTGGTTTAAATCCCGTCTCAGCTGTGTTCTCCTGCCCTGAACTCTTCACAGTAATTGTTCTTGTGTCTTCCAGGTTCCAATGGTCCTCAGCTGTTTACAATAGAGCAATGGGGCAGTCCAGAGAAGCTACCCAGAGCTCACACATGGTGAGTGGCACCTCCCTGCACTGTCAACAGGCAGACATAGAGGTGCTGGGGTGCCACACTTCTGGCCCATAGACAGCTCAGTGTTGTTGTTATATGCTGTCACATCATTCTTTTGTTGTTGGGTTTTTTTTAATTTTTTTTTTATTAATTTTAATGAAAGTTTACAGAGACTTAGGGTTTCCAGTCTTTCATTGTTGTACTTTTCTCCCTGCCCCCTCTTACCTCCCCCGCAGTTCACTCTTAAAAAGTAAAACTCTTTCACTGTTATGCAGTCCCTCCCCTCAAGTCCACTCCACTGTGCAGCCTTCGTTCTGGACTCCTGTCATGACAATAATACCCAATCATACATCCCTTTTAAACAGTTCTCTCCCTCGTCTGTTTCAATGCAGTATACATCATTCCTCCCCTGCTTTCCCGTCTTCCCTCAACCCCGATGTCATCCCGTTTTACAGCAGTGGCCCTATGCAGTATTTGCCTGTCACATCATTGTTAACCAGCCTTGATCCCATGTGACAGGGTTGAGCTACCCTTTAGGATTTTTTTGACTAATCTTTACAGAGATCACCAGGTGGTTCTGACGCGGAGCAGCTGGATGGGTTCAAACCATCAGCCCTTTGTTTAACAGCCACACATTTAACCACTGCACCACCACGGCCCCCTCATAAATAGCGTAGAGTTTCAGGTGACAGTGAAAGACAGTTTCTCCAGATGAAAGGCAAAGTGTAACGTCATACCAGTGTGTACATGAAGACCTACGCTTGACCTGAGGATGTTGTTAAAATGCAGATTCTGATGCAGTGTGTCTGGGGTTAGAAATAGGGTTTCTCAGCAAGCATCCAGAGCAGATCACCACACCCTTCTTCTGAGGCATCTCCAGGTGCATTTGAACCGCCAGCCCCTGAACTAGTAGTTGAGTGCTTAACCTTTCACGTCACCTCTACAGACCTCTGTGAACAGAAGTCTTCCCATGAATTTTTTCTATTTTTGGCACCACATCCAGAAAGACCATGGCAACCACCCACATGAGCCCTCCAAATGCAGCAGTTCTCAGCCGTGGCTGCCCACGGAGATAGCTGAAGCACTTTCAAAGAATGCCAATGGCAGGTTCCACCTCCAGAGACTGGGGTTCAGTGGGTCTGCTGTGTGTGTGTAAGCTGGGCATTGGGGTTTTCAAAGCTCCCCCACATGATTCCTACCTGCCAGGTTTCTTCCATTTCATGAGTGCGTAGCTTGATATCACTGTTGGCCAACTGACTCCTCTTGTCCACATGCCAACCAGCCCCTTTTCCCAGTCTTGGAAATGACATTGGTACCATGATGATTAAGATACTCAAACAGGTGGATTTGCACTGTGACCGCAGCCCTGGGCTCCGGTGTGTCAGAGATTGTGAGGACAGCGCAGGGCAGGGCAGGGTTCAGGTCTGTTGTTCCTGGGGTCGGTAACAACTCCAACCTCTTTCCTTTTGCAGCTTTAACCGCCTGGACTTACCTCCCTACGAAACCTTTGAAGATTTACGAGAGAAGCTCCTCATGGCTGTGGAAAACGCACAAGGATTTGAAGGGGTGGATTAAAGGACCCCGGCCTCGGGGTGGTCATCACTGAGCATGCTCTGCTCATACTTTCACGTTCGCCTGACAACAGACTTTTGCAGGGACGCTGGCGGAGTTGCCGCGGCGCGGGCTCCTGGGGCAGCGCGGGCTCCTGGGGCAGCGCCTTCTCCCGCACGGCCAAGTTCCCAGGTTCGAGCCCGGGAGCCGTCCCCGCACCGCCACCGCCTATGACAGCTGGTTGACGTGTACACTAATTACATTTCAGGAGGACTCGCTCTATTTATGTTGTGCCTCTGTAGGCAAAGCCCTTAATAAATATTTTGCATACTTTCTAATGACAATGAATGGAATTAATCACTCTACAGGTATAGTATTACAACTCATGTTTACTTTTTTAAAATGATTTAGACCGATTTTCAGACCCTCTCTCATGACGATTAAAGATGTCTCCTGTACTTGGAAAGTGAGCTTTTTTTAAAAAAAAAAATTGTATTTCATACCAGGCTTCATGTCAGTGGTGTTTTTATTTTCGAAGTCCTTTGCTGCTCCCACTCTCTGTTTTAGGAAAATTGAAAGACTGATATTTGTTAAGAAACTTCTAGAGACTAATCTCTGAGAGACTCACCAATAGAACATTAGGCATAATGATCTTCATTTTTTTTCCCATGTGGAGAGAGGAGGAGAACAAACTGGATATTACGTCTGGTTTTTGGTTTTTCGTTTTGTTTGTGCAGACATCATAGCTACAGGCTGAGAGCATTGTAACATAGCATGACAAGTATTTGTGTTGACTTGAGAGGAATCTCACCCCGTCTTTAGGAGTGCTTACATGTGTTTGGACACCCTGGGACAGGACTGGACGACTTGTTCTCCTCAGAGAAAGTGCCGGCTCCTTCCTGACATTGTACAGTCATCCTTTTTTATTCTATTTTCTTCCCTGCTTTTCACGGTGGAGATGTTTCAGATGACACTTCGGCACTCCTCGAGTTGCAACTGGAAACCAGAGCCTTCTCTGTCTCCTGTCTGTGCACGTCGCTGACGGTCGCCCAGTGGCCCGTTCTCCTCCTAACTTAACTGCACCAATCCTGAAGGCACTTTACGTACTACCTGGCGGTGGTGTCTGGTTTTGTTCGTTCATTTGTTTGTTTTTTGATCATAAACATTCACTGTGGTGACGCTCACTTTCCCCTGCACACGTCTTTCTGGTCCCTTGTGAAACTGGCTGCGGACAATACCAAGCACCCAGGTGTGGAGCTGAGCCGGCCCACCTGCCCTCCCCGGCGTTTGTGATTTCGACTCCACTGCCGAGATTTATTTAATAGACACTTAATCAAACCGAGTTTTGTTACCTAAGACTTGTTTGCATGCCCAAATACTGTGTACTGAGTCGTAGCTACTGTGTGGTGCGCCGGGTGGAAAGTGAGAGAAGATTCCATCTGCTCCGCTGGCGTCTCGCGGTTTGACTGGCTCTGGTGCAGGGCCGGGAAGACTGGCCAGCTTGGGGTCTCTTCCCACTTTGGAAGTCTGTGAAGTCTTTGTTCCAGAATCCTGTCTTGTTTTGAGACATTGTCTCAGATGGTGTAGGAGGTCAGATGGCATGATTTCCTTTCAGCCCTGCTGGTCCCACATCCTGGGATGCCTGTGAGAGAGCAGTAGAGATGCAGTCTCTTGCCAACTGTGGTTAAAGTCGTGATTTGGGGAGGTCCACTTGTTGCCTGAGAAGGCCATTTTGATACAAAAAAGCAAACTCAGCCGCTCTGGTGGCTTGGGAGAAGCCGTGAACTTTTGTGATCATGGATGAGTTATCAGAAGGGGTCAGAAGACTGAGATTTCTCCTAGAAGGTGGACTTTTTAGAGCCAAATGCTGGCTTGGATTGGCTTAAAAGCTTCCTGGGCTAATCCAAAACCATAGACATGAAGTTATAATCAAGGACAGTGTTGCTCATTCTTTTACCTTTAGGTGAAACCCAATGGCCTGTGGTCAAGGAAGCAGATGTCTCAATGGCAAAGTCCCCTTTTTGTGACCCTCATAGACCAGAATGCTTGCTTTTTAGGAATCGTGCCAAAACCCAATTGAGAAGTGTGTGTTGATGGTGATCATAAAATTACAGGGATTGCATCCCAACAGCTCTTGCTGGAGAACTGGAGATCCCTCTTGTCCTTCTGTAAATTGTGTATCCTGAAAAAAGAAGATCCACAAAATGCCAATCAGGCAAAGTATGGAAAGCATGAAGGACAAAATCTAGGATTGCTTCCCAATTAAGAGCACATGAGAATGATGAGAACATGCCCCTGTGAATACTTGAAAGATAACCATTGTGAATGGCAATTCAACCCACCTACCTTTTAGTCATATCTAGTTTTAATGACAACTAAGTATTGCTGAGCTTGGACATTTTTTTTTTAATTTTTTTTTTTTTTAGATCAAAATAAGGTTCACTGTTTCAGCAACTCTTACTGTTTGAACCTTCATCTAAAATTGTCCTGGGTCTTGTCTTTATTGAATATTGATAACCACTTCCCACTATCAATGGGGATATAATTGCAGTTGGCAAGCAAGAAAGTATGCAGACTACAGAGCAGGCTAGGTGGTCATTCGCTGAGTGTCCTTATGTCCCTCCAGCCAGCCCCCCAAAAAAGGGAGTTGATTGACGTTCTAGACTGTCCTGAGCAACCCACACCATTTTGAGGTCCAGGATCTTTCTAGCCTTTGTTTTCTCCAAAGCCACAAGAACACATCCCCCCACCCCAATCTGTTTCCTTTTTTCCTACAAAAGCAACCAAAACTATGGACCCCCTTACCACAAGGTTCCAAAGCTTGCATGTGACCTGATGAAGGTTAGTAAGCATCAGTGACCATGCCTGCCAAGAGGTCAGCCTGGGTGTACCATGCCTCCCTCCTGTTGCACTCAGGATGAATCTAGAAATTCCACCTGCTGGAATTGATTCAGATAGTGTACCACTTTCCTGCCTGCTGCCTTCTGTGTTGACGTTGTATTCCATTCCATTGCTTTTATTTTCCGCTTTTGCCTGGAATATGACCACACTTGAATTTTTCCATAGCAGGTCTTCTAGCAAGTCACGGCAGTGTACGATATATATTTAATTCTTGCTTCCAAGGCCGTTTGTTAGATTCCCTGAGGTTAGGTGGCAAATGCACTAAAACTAGCCACCGGACAGGAATGAGACCTCCCACTTAAGGACACAGGGACAGAGCCTGAAAACATGGTTTTCAGAATGTTGTGCCCTCTCTGCATCTCGCATCATTATAAAGACAGCATGTACTATTGCTGGGCTTTCCAGATTGGCTCGCTGGGAAGCCAAGTCTGTGTGCCGCAAATCACTAATTATTGTAGCAGTGACTGATGGTTTAATGATTGACTCTAGTATTTCCCCCCTTTCCTCGCCCAAGTCTTGTATCCCACCTCCGGAACTTTCATGTCTGCGAAGCCTGTGTTTCTCCTTTCTGGAGCCACACCCACCAAACTAGCTCTCCTTCTCCTTGCTTCTCGGCTGGACTTGAATGTCCTGTGCTGGAGGGAGAGGCAAGGCGGGGAGGAGCTGTCTGGCATTGTTTTTTGCCTTGCCAGTAGGAGGTGCTGCTGTCCAGGGGACTAACCCGACAGCTCCCTTCCCAGCCCCCAAAAGATCACGCACTACCTCTGTCTTTCAGGCTTTGGGGTATGCCCTGAGAAGTCATGTCAAAACTGCCAATTTTGGGACTGAGATGCGTTTCAAAAAAAAAAATCCTTACAAGCCCTACTTTGTACTTTAGATTTTAAAACTAGAGAGAAAAATGTGATAGAGACTTTGGACCACTTTTTTTTTTCTTTCATTTATACAAGCCTTAATAAACCAGTGTAGACTCATCCACGGTGTGTTGTTGGTGTGTTAGAAAATGCTGTCGTGTTAGGATGTGAGCCAGGGTTGTGTCGTACAGCAAAGGGATAGCTTTGTGTTTTGATGGAATTGCCCCAGAAAACCTCTCATCAGACGTCTATCCATCCATGCCTCCATTGGAGAATCTCACACAAGTGCAATGCAAATTGGAAATGCATGTGTGTGTTAGCTGGTGTTAGGAGGAGGGGCTAAAGGTTGCTGGTGGCGCCCAGCCTGCTCTGCGCTACGCGCTCAGCGTGGCGTGTACGTCTCAGAAGCCTTTCTCCTGACCATGCCATGTTTCTACCAATACCTGTGTTCTTCTCTAAGCCAATTTGCGCATCTTCACTCGCACTAAATTCTCCCAGATTGTCGTGGTTTCTTCCATGTTAATTTTGCGTAACTTTGTTCTTCCTTGACTACTCTGTATGTAAAGACATATATACGTATATAAGCTGTCTAAATATATATGTATATATTTATATGCCATTTGTACACCTTTACTGAGTAATCTGATTTTTAAAGGGAATTTATGTAGTCCTTTCAACAGTGTTGTCCAAGCTGTGTCTCCATCACCCTGCCCCTCGGATCCCGAAGAAATCACAAGAAGATGTCAATTTGCTGTCATTTCTTATCTCTGCATCAGTTATCAAACCACATGGGGGGAGGGGACATGGGGACTTTTAAGGTTGAAAAGAGTTTCAGGCATTCCAAATGAATTCTCAATGTTTCTTAACTTTTTTTATTATAACCTCCCTCCCAAGAGGCAGCCAAGTTCTATTTGATACACTGGTTTAAAAAAAAAAAATTACATGAAACCAAACTACCTTGAAATTTTTTTAAAGACAACTTCAGGATTGCTCATTTTCACAATCCAGATAGCTTTAAAATATGGTAAAATTTGATACACACAGGGGGGATAAAGTTTTGTTTCAGGACAAATCCTTTTCTTCTTTCCATTTTCCTTGAGAGATCTAGAGAAATTGTAGCTTTGTTTTCCTGACAGCAAAAAGAGTAATGTGACAAAAATGAAGTCGTTGTAACAAAGTGATGCAACTTGTCAAATATTTAATAAAGAATTATGGAAGCTGGAACATTTTCTACATCAAGTATTGTGGGTTGTCTGATTTAAAGCCTGTTTG